CGTAAACTTAACTAGTAGGTGAGCTCGCGGGGCTCAAACCTGACGACATTGCTAACACGAACCCTAGCGAGAGCCGTGCTTCGCAGAATCTACCACTGGATCGGAAACGCGACCCACTGAGAAGATCCGGCGAGAAACTCAGTGGGCTGTGTCTGAGGGTTAATTTACTCGTCGACAATGGTCATCACACTGATGACAGTCGTACTGATTGGTAGCTTCGGCTTTTGTCAGGTGATACGGATATGTAACTCTCGCTAAGTTATGATATTCTTATATTCCATTTGTCAGTAGTCAGCGACTTCTAAGACATTCCAAGTCTCCAGGAGCGTTGCTGAAAATCTTTCCTTCCGCCGTGTTCATTTCCTTCCGCAAACCCGCACGTGTGCGTGTCGGTCTCCTACTTTGTTCCGTCACGAAGTTCTGGAACGTTCCTGTTTGAGGGTTAACCATATTAGCAGAGCATTGAGACTTCCACTTTTGTTCAGAACGTGGACGGCATCAGTTTGTGATGTCTGATAAGCTCCGGTAGCCAGTTAACACCAGCTGAACCGTGACCTTGTCTTCTCATTAGAATAAACAAAAATTGTCTATATAAACGATTCTCTCATCTTAGGTTTATTTATTTGGGAATTTAACAGTATAAAACAATCATATACCTAATATAATAAAAAATAGCTAAAAGAATAACCAAACAAGTTTCCACCATCAAAATCACATATGTATATAAAATAGAAAGTGAACAAAGGAAAAACAGAGAAATATATAGATTAAAGTTTACAAAACAAAAAATGAGAAGCAATACAATACGCACATATGTACATCCACCTCTACTTTATGTGTATACATGTGTACATATATACTTTAAATCTTAATAATACACATCTAACCTTAAAATATTCCAAAATAGCATTTTTATATGCTACGAGTGATAAACAAAAGATTTCAGCATTAGATAATTTAGTATCACACAACCTCAAATATCTCAGAATCCTACCGACATTTTAACATAGAATAACACTGCGGGTGAAGTGAACTATAGAGTTTTAACTATAAAAAGTCGCTTGCACAACTGGCCTTTGCTCTAGTGCTGCCAGTAATACTTCAATCATAAAAAAAAACAACTGTAACTGTTGCTATCACTGCGCCACTTACTTGGTATGTTTCACCTACTTTTGTTTATTAAACATTGGACTGGGTCGCAGAGCGTGAGTTTACAGAATATTATTTCATTGCAATGGATCTGAACAAGGGAACTGAATTAATTAAGATATATTTAAGACTAGCGACCCGCCCTCGCTTCGCTTCGGAAACATTAAATTTTATTATTGATATCTGAGTCTCGCGATGTTACCCGCGGTTATTGTCGTACCGCGAGTGACGCCGCGGGGCGAAGCTAATCTAAAAAAAGTAGCCTAAGTTACTCCTTATATCACCAGCTACCTATCAGTGAAAGTCTCGTCAAAATCGCTCCAGCTGTTCCGGAGATTAGCCGGAACAAACAAACAGACAGATAGACAGACAGACAAAAATTGTAAAAAATGTTATTTTGGTGTATGTACCGCATATATATTCATATGCATGTAATAAAAAGCGGTTATCTCAATATTATAAACAGACACTCCAATTTTATTTATATGTATAGATATATTGGCTGGTGAAATATGAAGAAGTAAGAGCGAATTCCAATTTTTCGTCAAACGACTCAATTGTTTTGCCATCGCCAGCTTCCGTCGTATATACGAAGTTATATCTTCATTGTAGAGTTCGTTTATTTCTGACATCTGATTCCACTTGCTTGTCTTTATGCGATAGCACCTCTCCGTAGAATAATTGATGAGTATCATTCGCTTATTACAGTAATACCCGATCTTGATGTGTTCCACGATAAGTTGCGTGTATTTAGGTTTTTTTTAATTTTTTTTATTGCTTATGTGAGTGGACGATCTCACAGCCCACCTGATGTTAAGTGGTTACTGGAGCCCATAGACATCTACAACGTAAATGCGCCACCCACCTTGAGATATAAGTTGTAAGGTCTCAAGTATAGTTACAACGGCTGCCCCACCCTTCAAACCGAAACGCATTACTGCTTCACGGCAGAAATAGGCAGTGTGGTGGTACCTACCCGTGCGGACTCATAAGAGGTCCTACCACCAGTAAAAAAAAAATTAGGTACAAAATAGAAAAAAAAGAAAAAACGCACCTTAACTTTAATGGTTAATCATTTGTTGTTTTATAACTGAGTTGTTGCTTGATATTATTATATTGACATTTCTTCTTTTCTTTTTACTTTTTACTTGTTAAATTTGAATTTCAAAGTATGTTTTCGTTAGGTATCCTTTTTATTTTTATTATTGTATTCCATTTTCGGGCCGATGAATTGCCAATGTTATGTGACAATAATGGCGTCATTATTGTCACATGCATCAGGCCATAAATTAAATAGTTTTATTTTTAATGTTAAATGATTGTGATGTGGCAGTACTTTTTTAATAAATAAAATAAATAGATAGAGTTTTTTTTATTGCTTAGATGTGTGGACGGGCTCACAGCCCACTTGGTGTTAAATGGTTACTGGAGCCCATAGACATCTACAACGTAAAATGCGCCACACACCTTGAGATATAGTTCTAAGGTCTCAGTATAGTCACAACGGCTACACCACCCTTCAAACCGAAACGCATTACTGCTTCACGGCAGAAATAGGCGGGGCGGTGGTACCTACCCGCGTGGACTTACAAGCGGTCCTACCACCAGTAAAAAAGTTTAAAAGGGTTTAAAGTTATATTTTTTATCTCATAGACAAAATTCTCTCAGGTTGAGCCCCTAAGCTCACCTACCCATCCGCGCGTATTGGAATAGCACCGTAGGCTACCACGTCATACGATAACTAACGACGAGAATATTACGTATTTCATAGATGAGCCTTTTTTGTTCGAGGTCGAAAAATATGAAGCACAATCGTACGAAAGATCAAGACTGATCAAACCAGACGGTGGGATTTCCCAAATCTATTACTGTGTCTTTCAAATGATACCGGATCTGTGCTATGTTAGACTAACTTTTTTTTTTAATGCTTAGATAGGAGGACGAGCTCACAGCCCACCTGGTGTTAAGTGATTACTGGAGCTCGTAGACATCTACGACGTAAATGCGTCACCCACCTTAAGATATAAGTTCTAAGATCTCACTATAGTTACAACGGCTGCCCTACTCTTCAGACCGAAACGCATTACTGCTTCACGGCAGAAATAGGCAGGGCGGTGGTACCTACCCGCGTGGACTCACAAGAGGTCCTACCACCAGTAACTCGAAAGACATCTTCATCTTCGCAATGACCATATTGCCATAATGCCTAATGTATAATACCATGCATGCCTATGCATAATACCATGCATGCCTATGCATAATGCCAAAATTGGTTACTTAAAAACTCCCCACAGATTCAATAATTCATACCAATAGTACGTACTAATGATTAATTACGTGCCGGCTACGCAGTTAACGCACGAGACGAGGCGCACATTCATTCAACACGTATATAGAAATCTTATTTCCTTATCTTGCGTAACGTTCACGGATTATTTAATAATAAATCGTTGGTATGTGTGGCGGTAATATCGATAGCGGGTCGTTGACCTTTACCGGCAGGTGTGAACAGCTGTGTGGAAAAACATTTACACGCACGCTCCGTAGCAATAATAATAATATCTTTGTGTACGGAAATATTGTACGTGTTATAGATATGTTTTTTTTTAATTGCATTGGGATACTTTTAGATGGTATTAACAAGACCAATGTGCATGCCGTTAACAATGTTAATACGCACAGACACTTATATTAAATGGGGACGCGTTCAGTGCTCATCTGATCCTTGAAGTATATAGATAGATTGCCTTTTTTTTTATTGCCCTTGTAGGCAGACGAGCATACGGCCCACCTGATGGTGAGTGGTTACCGTCGCCCATGGACTTCAGCAATGCCAGGGGCAGAGCCAAGCCACTGCCTACCAAATGATTAATTAAATTAATGAATGATTAATATAACATCTATCCTACCCTTCAAACTGAAACCTAGGTTTCATTCGTGGCACAAATAGGCAGAACTGTGATAGTTACCCGTGCGAGCTTATAAATATCCCTGACCAACATAATATTTGTAAAAAAATATAATAAGTTTTTTGTTCTAAGTTCAATACTGTAGATTGTATACAATATTTAGTAGATGTTATTTTATATATTGCACACAGACACTTCAGCTTCATTTCTTTGTATAGATTGTGTTGGAAAGTAGCAAGTTTTTTTTTTTTGGGATAACCGTGCGTGACACGATCCCAGTTTTATTATTATTATTTTTGTATCAAACACTGCCTCGCCTGGGAAGACGGCAAGACACACTCCGGCGAAGCGGGCAACAATTGATCGGAGCGTTAGGGACAATTAGGAAAGAAACCGGCGAACTATATGGGCATTGTCCAGCAAGACTGCTTATTGCACCTGGGCCGCCATCGACTTTTTTTTAAATTGCATAGATGGGTGGACGAGCTCACAGCCCACCTGGTTTTAAGCGGTTACTGGGGCCCATAGACATCTACAACGTAAATGCGCCACCCACCTTGAGCTTTAAGTTCTAAGGTCTCAAGTGTAGTAACAACGGCTGCCCCACCCTTCAAACCGAAACGCATTACATCTTCACGGCAGAAATAGGCAGGAATTTTTGTTGACACCAAGCCTCTCGAGATATTTTGAGAGGCTTTCAGGGACCAAGCCATTCACCGATACAATTACCGGGCATTATTTCTGTAGATACCACCACCATCCACATGTCGGTCACATATTATTATTACAGTAATTTAGGTTTACGTATGGTTTTCTTGAAACCTTGTTTTTTTTGGGACTTGTTTTGAACAGTGAGAATTTTAATTAAGTTCATTACAAAAACTTTTGATTGTGTGTTGAAGTATGAACATATTGAAAGCATTGTGTTTTTTTTTGTTCCAGATACGAAATTGAATGTAATCTCTACAATCTCGAGGAGGCAACGTTCCCGCGGCGTCTCCATTTTGCATTAAAACAAGACTGATATTAATGATAGTTTAGAATACATTCCAAAACATGAGAATATTCCTGTAGATAGATAAATAAAAGAATCAAGATGTTTCAATTATTAGGTGGATTGAGGGTGTATTTCCAGTACCAACCGATAAGGACTGACAATGCCGTGTTCAGACTGCACAATGTGTTCACAACGGTGTTATTACTGACGTGCTCAATGATAATTACCGCATCGCAGTACGTAGGAAAGCCTATAATGTGCATCGTTAATGGAATACCGGCGAATGTGGTCAATACGTTCTGTTGGATCACGTCAACGTTCACAATGCCAGATGCTTTCGCAAGAGAGGTGAGTTGGATAATATAGTTTTTTTCGTTTAAAATACGTGTTTCAGCAAAAATATTGCGATAACTCAATATACGAAGTAAAATACAAGCAGAGAGCTCATTATATTTTATGCGAATCTAATCGTATGTCAGATGAAGACTCACTGAAGTTCTGGCCGGATATTTTCAACGGGTCGCGATTCCGATCCTGTAGTAGATTCATTCGCGAAGCAGTTGCTTTTGAGTTATTAGGTCTCCTTTGGAAGCGCTCGGGCAGCTGTTACCAAATCCCACCCCTCCTGGCTGAGCCTTTGCTCGCCCTCCTGTCCTGGTGAAACTGGAAAGGCCTCCGGGCCACCAGTAATCCTTTCATCATCATCATGCTTTCCTATTACCCTCTGCTGGGGTGTAGGGCTCGAATCAAATTTTTCCATTTATATCGGTCTTGGGCAGTCTGTTCTAGCTCCTCCCACGTCATGCCCAAGACCCCTAGCTCCTGCTCCACCGAGCGACGCCAAGTTGTTCTGGGGCGGCCTCTCTTCCTTTTACCAGACACTTTCCAGGTCAGTGCTCTCTTTGATAGGTGTGTATCGGGCTTTCTCAAAGTGTGACCAATCCAATTAATAATAAGTAATCCTTTAATCATAAAAAAAGTCTTTATACGCGATATGTTTAAGGTGAGTGGCGCATTTACGTTGTAGATGTCTATGGGCTCCAGTAACACTTAACACCAGGTGGACTGTCAGCTCGTCCATCCATCCAAGCAATAAAAAAATATAAAAAATATCGCAGCGCCCTGTCCTCTTACTAGCTGACTTGTATACAACGGAACACAATCATTGCCCACTATACTGACGGGTTACTCGCGCGGTTAACTGGCCGTTTCCTCTTTGATCCATGAGCCGCTTAGGGTCATCGGTCAGAGATGAACCCTACTCGGTTATTTAGTGAACATTTCGTTCCCTTTAAGAAGAACTACATACATAACAGCTTATTTCAATCGGTCTTCTCTTTATCTTTATTTATAGGGTTGTAGCTTTCGATAGACCATTCACGGCTCGCCTGGTTTTAAGCGGTTATGGAAAACATTAAACCGTGACTGGCGAGTTGCGTATTGAGAAATTATATTAGTAACACTGTTACAGTTGTCGGGTTCAAATCGAGATCGATCGTTCAGAAATATTGATAGCTCATATAATGGGAGTGTGTTGTTTTGTCTATGAGTCTTCGGCAACGGCTTGATACCAGGTGAGCTTTCCAGTTTTACTAGGGCAGGTAGGCGAGCAAAGGCTCAGCCAGGAGGGGTGGGATTTGCTAACAGCTACCCGAGCGCCTCCAAAGGAGACCTAACAACTCAAGAGTAGCTGCTTTGCGAATAACTACCGGATCGGAATCGCGACCCGCTGAGAAGATCCGGCGAGAAACTCAACGGGCTGATGTTTAGGTTTGGTTGCACGTCGAACTCTTTGCCAAGTTCGACGAGTACGATTACCGGGGTCCCCAAGCCTGCTCCTGGTATTAGAGCTAAAGGCGTCTGATGCAAGGGTTATTGGATCTGATGGATCCGTAGAGACATGCTCCAAGTGAGCTGTGAGCTCTGTGTACAATTAAAAACATAATCTAAACGGAATATGGTCTGTTTTAGATAGGTATCTTCCATTTTACAAAAATATTGCCCGAAATAGTTGATAAAAAAGTCTAGAACATGTTATAGAATACATGAATACATGTTTTATAGTTTATTCTTTAAATGTATTCGGTACATACATCTAGGATACATTGCTTCACAAATACATAAACTGAATTAATGCATTGTTATTTTGAATGAATTTTAAACATGTGTCTATTTAATACATTTATAGAGAAACCCGGCTCCGCTCCACGTTTACGGTCAATGTAACAATAAATTTTATAAAATTACTTGCTTGCGCCTTCCGTTTGCTTTGATGTTACTGCGAGAAAAACCTCTCTTAGTCCAGTCATTACAGGGGGTGGACCTCGAAAAATCGACATACCCAGTATATTACCATTTAAAAATTAGTATTTTGGCATCATAAAACTATTTTCGAAATTCACATATAATTGGATGGTCGCAAGTTTTAAAGTTAGGATGCCAAAATACAAGTTTTTACGTGGTAATATACTAGGTATATCCGAGATAGATTTTCCGAGATATTCATCCAATTTGGCCTACAATGACTGAACTATGTCTAACTCCTGTCCTAGCGGCGAAAGTAGGTGCGCTGTCCCAATTTTTATGCGATCCAGAAGTTAAAAAATTTGCACCAAGCACCCTGTTATATCGGATAAAAGTCGAGCGACACGAACAAACAGTCAGTCAGAACAAACAGTATATATTATTATATAAGATGTTATTTGGTACATGGTGTACACGCTCTATTCCTGTCCATGTTCATGTTTCAATCATGAGCAACCTTCGTATTTATATGTCAATATATTGCATTATTCCACTTTTGTTGTTCAGTTACTGAATTTGGTTTGTTAAGTAGTCTACCCACCGAGTTTATCGCCGGATCACCTCAATGGGTTGTGCTTACGATCCGGTGCTAGATTCAGCGAAGCACTGCTCTTGCTAGGGCTAGTGGTAGTAAATTGTCTCAGATTGAGCCCATGAGCTCACCTACCTGTCCGTTGCATAGCTGGAATAGCTCCTTAGGCTACCAACGATTAGGCAGCGGCGTAAGTTAGAAAAGTTTCCTACAGAACGTCGTTTGGTATCGGTAGAACTTTCTAGAAATCCCACCTACATATATATGGATAAGATTGTAACTGGGCTTTTTACCAACGCCTTCCCATCACCGAAGCACAGTTCATTGCCAAATATAATCCGGTTCTAGAATTAACTTTCTTATATTTTTTATATTGTATGGAGACTATCAAAGGGCTCATCTGATAGTCAGAAGTTACCCGTCGCTCGTGAACATCAATAATGGCAGAACTAAAGTCAGGTCTCTGCCTACTCTAAAAAAACTTTCCTTTGTGGTGTTCCTTTAAAAACCTTCAGACTCCTTGGTCTTTGCCTCCGACATCCGCTCTCTTCACATAAACCGTCGGAACGCACAAGATATTTTAAATCCAAACATAATTCTCTTTCAGGTCGGTAAAGAAGTAGCGCATCCAGGAGTCGGACCAGACTTTGAAGGAACGGAGAAGAAATACTACACCTACTATCAGTGGGTTTGTTTCGTATTGTTTTTTCAGGTAAGACATTAAATCATGTGGTCTGTAATTCCATGGGGCGCTATTACCGTGCTGCCTATTTCTAACGCGGCACAGTGTGTGTTCTAGTTGTAAGAGGGGGAAACGCGTGCAATTGACACTTCGGCTCAGGTTCCAAAGTAATGTTTTTTATTCCTTAGATGGGTGAACGAGCTCACAGCCCACCTGGTGTTAAGTGGTTACTAGAGCCCATAGACATCTACAACGTAAATGCGCAACCCACCTTGAGATAGAAGTTCTAAGGTCTCAGTATAGTTACAACGGCTGCCCCACTCTTCAAACCGAAACGCATTACTGCTTCACGGCAGAAATAGGCAGGGCGGTCGTACCTACCTGTGCGGACTCACAAGAGGTCCTACCACCAGTAATTACGCAAATTATAATTTTGCGGGTTTGATTTTGACTACACGATGTTATTCCTTCACCGCGGAAGTCAATCGTGAACATTTGTTAAGTGCGTATTTCATTAGAAAAATTGTTACCCGCCTGCGGGATTCGAACACCGGTGCATTCTTGTTATCCTTTACGCCACGACGATGTCAATGGATTGTGGCGTAGAACTGCAACAGAGAAAAGCCACGAATCGCAATGTACCTAAAATATTTACGAAGAGCACCTTTAATGACACCCGTGTTAATGAACTCTGTAATGTGTTCATGGTGCATCGCGCGCAGTTAAATACTCGTAATATCTTGGCCGAAAATAAAATGGACGCATGTCGTTTACGAGACGCTTGGGTACGTCCTGTATCTAACTGCACGGTAATGAGGCATTGGACCCTTTAGTTGTAGTTCCTTCTCTGTAGTCAGAATATGTATTTTTAAAAATAGTACTCCCCAACGTAATTGCTTTATCTTTATGAGAATTGTTTCTAGATAAAAACGGTTGGTCTTGAAGAGTGTGTAAAACCGCCTATTGTACGATTATACTCGTTTGTCGACTGATTTTCAATGTTAATTGTGTTTTCGTGTGCAATAAAGTACACTACTATCTTGCGTTAGTTTCATGTAAAAAAAAAGTTTATAAAAACTTTTTCTAAATTCTAAAGAACAAGTAAAGAGCAAAGAATGCTTTCTCTATAAACATCAGGTTTCCCTATTAGGTTTTTATCTATATATTAATACGTGAAGCAAAAACGTTGTATCCCTTTATACGAAAATTGCGCAGACGGAGGAGTATGAAATTTTCCACATTTATAGAGAATATAGAGAAGAAGTGCGCAATGCTAATATTTTTTTAAAATAATGCGTAAAAGGTACATTAAATCAATAAATAAAACATTACACACACTACATACCATGTATTTGACGCAACACGCATACATACTAGGTATTTATTGTCAAACTTTTGTTCTTGACGTCTGGGGCCAAATTGAGAATAGATTAAATATCGTTTGTCTTTATTCATATTTTTTTATAATATAGTCTTGGCGAAATTTGTGATTATGGAAGTATAAAATACTAGCGACCCGCCCTCGCTTCGCTTCGGAAACATTAAAACACACATGAAACAAAAAAAAAAAAAAAAAAGTAGCCTATGTTCATTAGGGACAATGTCGGCTTCTAATGGAAAAAGAATTTTTCAAATCGGTCCAGTAGTTTCGGAGCCTATTCGAAACAAACAAACAAACAAATCTTTCCTCTTTATAATGTTAGTATAGATATAGACAATCATAATAGTGTACAAACTTATTATACAATTCCAATTAATTATAGTCGAATTTCGACTACTGCGGGACCACTAGTATTTATAAATTCCGAATCGAAATTTTTCTCCTAGTTACTACTGCCTTGATACTTCAAATACTACTTTAACATCAAATAAAGCATATACCGAATTTCGTGTAAGGGAACTTAATCAGGAATATTTTACGGTCGCAGCAAATAGGAATTGTGATTGTGAAGTGGATTTCTTACGTGATAGGTCACTTACGTATATATGTATAGTTTGAAAAAAACTTGAGGTAAAAATATAATAGCTACTAGCTACTGCAATAGCGATTGGAAGATTTGGACGGTTATAATAAACCTTTTAAATTAACTTTGGCACATGTCTCAAGGTTATTCTGGTGTCTATGAACTTCGATAACCACTTTACCTTGGCCTTTAGCGCCGTCACCTAAATACGCAATGAAAGATAAAAGCTAGATCGGTAACACAAAGCTGTTTGGTCCACGTATACGGTCATTAGGGCAAAAGAAAATTATACATTCCTAAAGTGGCCTAAAGGATAAGACGTCCGGTGCATTCGTATCTAGCGATGCACCGGTGTTCAAATCCCGCAGACGGGTACCAATTTTCTTAATGAAATACGTACTTAACAAATGTTCATGATCGACATCCACGGTGAAGGAATAACATCGTGTAATAAGATCAAACCCGCAAAATAATAATTTGCGTAATTACTGGTGGTAAGACCTCTTGTGAGTCCGCACGGGTAGGTATCATCGCTCTGCCTATTTCTGCCGTGAAGCAGTAATGCGTTTCGATTTGAAGGATGTGGCAGCCATTGTATCTATACTGAGACCTTAGAACTTATATCTCAAGGTGGGTGGCGCATTTACGTTGTAGATGTCTATGAGCTCCAGCAACCACTTAAAACCAGGTGGGCTGTGAGCTCGTCCACCCATATAAGCAATAAAAAAAAAACTTCAGAGGTGTCAAGGGACACCCGGATGGAACGAAGTTCCTTTCGATTAATTAGTGAAGGAATTGTAATTTTTTTTTTAAGTTATAATAATAAATTACGCTATTATGAAGAAGAAAAAAACGAGAAACTGTACTCATTACGCGGACCAATCGGATACGAGCAATGTCACGCGATAAGCGCCTACACGTTGATTGGTCAGAATGACGGATCTAAAAAGTGTCGTGACAACTTTTCGTAAGAATTTATAGCAAAAAGTGTCGTGACATCTTTTCGTAAGAATTTATAGCAAAAAGTGTCGTGACAACTTTTCGTAAGAATTTATAGCAAAAAGTGTCGTGACAACTTTTCGTAAGAATTTATAGCAAAAAGTGTCGTGACAACTTTTCGTAAGTATTTTTTCCGTCTAGCCCCCTTTCACAACGCGCGATAAGGAACTTCGTTCCAAAAAAAGAAGAATGTCATTATAAGCGATTTATCTTCGTTAATATAGAAATTGAATGATGTATGGGATCATGGGACAAAAGTCGAGAAGGTACGATTTTCAGACAGACACTTAAATCCAGTCGTTTTCTGATAAAACATTCTCACATAAATCTAAATCTAAATAAATGTATTTGTTACATTGAGAGACCTACAAAATTCCAACACAAGTTTCATCCACTGTGCAATTTTAAGTCATTGTTACTTTCGCAATTCATGTAAAGCTTATTCACGACGAATTAACTTTTAATTAATTAATTTCGCTTAATTGGCTTCAATAAATGTTTTTCCTGGTTTAATTATTGTATTAATGCAACATTTCAAAGAAATCGCCGCAATAACGTTAACCATATATTATTAGGGTGTTTCATCATAATTCTATTCAAATTAGTCATTTATGTTGTAAATTGTAATTATACTTAGTATGTACCAGTAACAATAATAATGGAATAGTTGCAAATTTTCCGCTACAAATTATAATCTATATATTAATACGTGAAGCAAAAATTTTGTATCCCTTTTCACGAAAATTGCGCGGACGGAGGAGTATGAAATTTTCCACACTTATAAAGAATATAGAGAAGAAGTGCACAATGCTAATGTTTTTTTAAAATAATGCATAAAAGATACATTAAATCAATAAAGAAAACATTACACACACTACATACCATGTGTTTGACGCACACACGCATGCATACTATTTATTGTCAAATTTTTGTTCTTGACGTCTGTTGTCAAATTGAGATTAAATATTATTTGTCATTGTTAATATTTTTTATAGTGTAGCCTTGGCGAAATTTGTGATTATAGAAGTATAAAATACAATCATAATAGTGTACAAACTTACAATTCCAATTAATTATAGTCGAATTTCGACTACTGCGGGACCTCTAGTAAGTTTTAATATGTATAAGGTATGATTCAGCTGGTTTTAAGGTCGGTCATGTTAAATGCATTTGCAGGCGATCTCGCGGTCTAACTTGTGTTAATTGATTAATAGAGCTCACAATCATCACCGCCATCCGTCTTGAGACATGAGGTTGAAGCCTCAATTGTATTTTATAGCGACTGTCATATCCTTAACATGGTTGGTTTAGGGCAGAAAAAAACAGGTTTGGGGTGAAACCCACCCGTGCAGGCTTACAATAGGCCTTTATTACAATACATCTCACACCATCGGATCGGTTTGCCCATAAGATACTTTACCTGATCTAATAAGGGCCATAGAGAAGGTAATTAACTGCGAAAAAGTAATCCTTTTTCATCTAACAAAAAAACACGATATGGAATTGAGTCACACAATAGGATTTACTGTAGTCATAATGAGTCATGTTAGTAGTGAAACCGGTATTGCGATTTATTAAATCATGATAATGTTCGTTTAGTTTAACTATTTACTTAATGAGATAAATTACTTTTCCGTTCCCTGATGGGCAAATGTCTTCTAGATCCACATTTGGTACCGCAATGTATAAAATATCTCGCACCAGAAATGGGCTCCTGTGTCCATGCTCCTTGTGGCATCCATAAGTGCCGGTATCCATCCGATCCAATAACATCGGCATGAGATGTCTGCAGCTCTAGCAGTAGAACAGCCATAAGGACTCCACAACTTTACAACCCACTGAATTTCTCGCAAGATCTTTTCAGGGAGTGGCGATTTCGATCCGGTGATAGATTCAGCAAAGCACTGCTAGGGTTAGCAAATCTACTCGGGCCGTAGTAGCCGTCCGTGTAGCTAGAATAGCTTCTTAGGCTACCAGCCTATTGGTAGGGGAAAAAGGTGACCCTACTCCCATACCCTCTGCACGCTCAGTTTCTTGTCAGATTTTCTCAGCGGGTTCGGATCTGGTAATGTATTCGCAAAGTAGCTAGTATTTTTTTTTATTGCTTAAATTGGTGGACGAGCTCATAGCCCACCTGGTATTAAGTGGTTACTGGAGCCCATAGCCATCTATAACGTAAATCCGCTACCCACCTTGAGATATAAGTTCTAAGGTCTCAAGTATAGTTACAACGGCTGCCCCACCCTTCAACCCGAAACTCATTACTGTTTCATGGTAGAAATAGGCAGGGTGGTAGTACCTACCCGTGCGGACTCACAAGAGGTCCTACCACCAGTAAAAAGGAGCTGGCAGGTCTCCTTTAGGGGCGCTCGGGCAACTGTTAGAAAGATACACCCCTCCTGGCTGAGCCCGTGCTCGTCCACCTGTCCTGGTGAAACTCCCTCCATAAACAACGTGCCTCCACGTAAAAATGTTGTTCCCCTACAAGAGCCTAGTCCCGTTCGGGTTGACACTTGGGACTGCCAAGGATCAATTGATATTCCGATTTGCAGATATTTGAAGACAGTTAACCTTTAAAATTCACAAAGAAGTCAGTAGTTTAAACAAACTGACCTTTAGTTATACAAATAAGGCAGTGCTTGCTCAAAAAATTAACGCAATTCACTATGTGATTATGGTATGAACTCTGTTGGGTGCTAGCTTATTACATCATTATTTCCGTGTATTCACCGAATCAGGTATAACATTATTCATTTTATTATCATGTATTATTCTGGTGCCGTCTTGGGTATGCATTTTAGCGTGATTCAATATTAGGTCATAATTCTCCTTCGGAGCCTCATTGGTGAATTAGAATTAGAGGAAGTTCTTATGAAAAACACCAAAAATACCTTGTAATTTACTTAAAAATGTGACATCAAGATTTGGTATAATTTAGGTTCTTGACATCAAAATCACACCCATGCGTAAACCGCTCAATTTATACTAAAAATAAACCTTCTAAACGTGCAGTCACGACTACCCGAAGCAACGCCCAGTTTCGAGAGGCCTGTAGGCTTTAGGGCAGCAATTGTAGTGGAGGTTCTAGAAATCTGGACAGTTTGATGTCGTTGTCATCACAATTTGGGTCGTATATAACGGTAGACAGCACGTAGTCGGATGACGAATGTTTTACTGTAAGTTTATTGCCTTCCATCGACGCGTTTATGGCGTGACCCACTAATCGATATTGTTACTAAAAACTATGATGATAGCGTTAATACTATAACGGTATTTGAATTATCGGATTTGATCTGACGTCAGCCAATGAATATATTTGTTGTTTGTTACTCGAATAGAATTAGTTTCTGTGGATCGAGAATCGAGCTCACGACCCACTTAATGTTAAATGCTTACTGGACTATTTAAACATCTTAACGTGAATCTAAAAATTTACATAAAAGGCTATATCGCCATACAAACTGGAGCACTTTATTGCTTGGGATCAGAAATAGGCTGAGCGATATACCTGTAGTACTAGCCTGTGTGGTCTCACAGCAGGCCTTATCCCCTCGACCCAAGATAGGGAAAGAAGAGCGTATTAAGAAGGCACCTAAGGCTAATACTATGAAGTACTTACGGAAGAATCATCGTTTATAAGCATAGGACAGACTACCCTGGAATCTCCTCTTTCTCATTTGCAGAAAGCCTTAGTAAAATATTAAAAATGTTTCCCACAGGCAATAATGTGCTACACGCCCAAGTTTCTATGGGACGCATTCGAAGGTGGGCTGCTCAGGACCATCGTGATGGGACTCAACATCGGGGTTTGCCACCAAGATGAGAAGGAAAAGAAGAAAGACGTCATCATTGATTATCTCCTTCGGCACGAGAGAGTGAGTATTATTCATATACATAAAAGCGAGGTTTCATCGGAGCGAATGTGATCATGCTAGGTATCAAACTCTTCAAACAGGTCTCAAGCTATGTGAGGAAATATCGTACATATTAAGTAAAGAAAAGTGTAAAGTATGAAATTAAAAAAAATGCGTTATTGTTGACGCCATTGCCTATTGTGAGGCAACACGTGCAGGTACCACATTGCGTCAATCTGAGGCTCCGGTAAGGACTCAACATTTAGTGCATTAAAAAAAATCTAGGTGGACGAATGCTGGAATAAAAGTCCTGATTAAACTGCACAGTGAACAATTTTGAACTTCACATTTCTGACAAAGTCGTTTCGTCTTTGAAAACTGTTGCACGTGTCTCGCCTCGGTAATGAGCAAGGTGCGTTGCTCCGACGCATACCGACTACCTGGACGTTTCTGTGCGTGAGTTGAAACCGAGAAACAGCGGGATTGATATATCCTGCATTGTTTTTTTTTTTGTTCCTATGTAACCAAAGAAGTCACGGCCCTGGCTCATCTTGTTTTAAGTGGTTACTCGAGCCCGCGAAATCCGCTGCTCAATTTGGCGCGTAATGCTCAATTCTCAATTATATTCTCGCCCCCTTCCTTGGAATCAAACCTTGGCTAATGAACAGCACAGATTAATCCTTCGTAACTTCAGTCGTATCTACGGTAATCATACTAAATTGAGGTGTCAGGTGACATATAATGGCCTTCTACATTTTTGCCAATTACTTTATTTGTCACTTTGTTTGAAGCCTATAGGCAGCCTATAGGTAGATGATATTTGGATAAAGGGAGACTCCAATCATTGTATTATTTTAACTCGCTTTTGAAAATAAAGTATTTTATATTTGTATTTGTATTTGAAAAATAAAGTGCTGCTATATCATAGCTTCTCAAAACATTTCGAGGGTATTATTAATCCATTTATGTAAATGAAAGATAAAAAAGATCAGTCAGAGGTCATCATTTATATCGATTTTGTTTCAAATGAAATCAATTTTACAAAATTGTATCTGTATCAAGTATCGTGTTTCATATAAATCTCGAACAAGAGAAACCGCTGCCTATCGTGAAGAGATATAAAACCTCTTTTAACGAGAAGTTAGATTGGATCAGATTTTATCTTCCCACTCGGGTTTCCCGTTTCGTGGCTTTCAATCCTTTGAGTCTTATGCGGCTTTACGTTCGATGGTCTTGTTAGGTTATAACTTAGTCATTTATAATTCGAACCCACGCTGTTCGTCATCATATTACAGAATCGCATTAGCATAGTCTAAGTCCGTCTGTGGCCACAAAAAAGTTGCTATTTGAATCGAGATATCCGATACGATCGGAACGTGACAGCCAATCGCGTAGACCGATTTTTTTGTCCAAAGTCATTGACCAGTGAGCGTTCATTGCACGTTCTTGCGCAAGATAGTCTTCTCTGTAATTCGTGCAACTGGTAATAAGTTACGGAGGTAATACGTACGGAGTAGTTACGCGAATTTGTCTTGAGGCGTTTGTCTTAATTGCTTGAGATGATACCATCATCTCGTTTTTAACATCGCACCGCACGCCACCCGAAGTAGAGTTCATCCATACTACCTGGAGCCACTGCGTTCATCCACAGTGCGTTTCCAGAGATCTTTTTTGCCATGTACCATCCGGCTTTGGAATGAGCTCCCCTCCACGGTGTTTCCCGAGCGCTATGACATATCCTTCTTTAAACGAGGCTTGTGGAGAGTACTTAACGGTAGGCAGCGGCTTGGCTCTGCCCCTGGCATCACTAAAGTCCATGGGCGACGGTAACCATTCACCATCAGGTGGGTCGTATGCTCGTTTGCCTACAAGGGCATTAAAAAAGCAAAGGCGTTAGGTTGATGCTATGATCGCATTGGATCAATTGTCGCGTGTGTGCTTAAGGCTCTCGATCTCACAACATGAACCACGTCTACCACGACTTTGATTTGATGACTTAATCTCGTTCTTGCGTCGTAGTAACCCTTCTTGAGTACATGTTGGATTAAATCGAGGGGTGAGGCTATATGGTTTTAGCGACATTTCACTTAAAACGCAAGATTTATCTTTATAATTAAAGGTGCGTTTTATTTGGTATTAGCATCAACAGTTTGATTTTTTTAAATTGAATCTCAATTAAGTTTACTCTGTTCGCATAGCTGAAGAAGTTTTTTTGTCATGATATTTTTTCGAAATTTTAAACTTTTTTTTTATTGCTTAGATGTGTGGATAAGCTCACAGCCCACCTGGCGTTAAGTGGTTACTGGAGCCCATAGACATCTACAACGTAAATGCGCCACCCACCTTGAGATATAAGTTCTAAGATCTCAGTATAGTTACAACGGCTGCCCCACCCTTCAAACCGAAACGCATTACTGCTTCACGGCAGAAATAGGCAGGGCGGTGGTACCCACCAGGGCGGACTCACAAGAGGTCCTACCACCAGTAACAAACTTTAAATGACTCTCCTGTAAAGTAGCGATAATGTCGATGAAACCAAATTACTTTTCACCTGTCGAAATGATGTATAATGTAACTTAAAGATTCTAATTGTACGGATAAGCGCGCACATTATGTTGCATACGAATGCATTTTACATTGAAGCCAATTATTTTCGAGTCTGTTCGTGTACCGCCATCTGTGGCGCATTTGTAGATGTCTATGGGCTCCGGTAACCACTTAACACCAGGTGATATGTGAGCTCATTCACCCATATAAGCAAAAAATTAAAAAATATTGGGTGGGTGTATGTTTGTGTGTGTATCTAACCCGAGAAAAGCATCACTTAGACTGAACTACTAACTTGATGTTTTTTTTAAACTCATAAAAAGCTTCTCATAAATTTTAAACGACATAGCTCTGTACGATCACAGAAATCAAAGGCATGAGTAAAATAAACCAACATAAAATGTACCTTCAATTTGAGTCGCCTCATACATTAACTTAATCCAAATTTAACGCAAGTTTAATTATATACTTTATACTGTCAGCATTACATACAAATAATGCGTAAAATCTTCGGTTTATTGCCTTCGCGGTGACGCACACGCTTTGATGTCATAATTAAAATTAATAAAACTGACTGTTTAAGAAACAATAGGTTTGAGATCGCAAGATTTCAGATCACGGAAGCTTAAAAAGTGTAATTGCCATTAATATAGGCGCACTCAAGGGCAATAGTGGTTTCCTTGTTCATTTAGTTAAAAAAGTATAATGGGTCATCTAGTTACTGTGGTTCTAGTATATTCTTCTTAAAATATAAAAAAAAAAAACTGTTCGCGTGGTGACGTCTCTGATTGAGTTTAAACTTTGTATAGTTATTGGAACTTTAAAGAATGTTTTTGTTAATTAACAAAAATATATAATAAATATATTTAGTGGGTAATTACCCACTAATATATTATATGTATGTAACTATACTGAGACCTTAGAACTTATATCTCAAGGTGGAAGGCGCATTTACGTTGTGCATGTCTATGGGCCCTAGTAACCACTTAACACCAAGTGTGCTGTGAAGTCGTCCACCCATCTAAGTATTAAAAAATAAATAAATAAAAAAGTCGAGCAACACCTACATAAAAGGAAAACAACTTATTGCAGTGAACAAAATAAGTCCATTATACATGCTTACGAAAATGAGGATCCCCCACACACGAGCGCACTCGAGCGTGTGGATTCATTCATCGTTAACGACTTCTTACAGTATTTTTTTTGGAAACACTGCATGGCCCTATTTAGTTCTTAACTAGTATTTTTTAGGTTTCAATTTTGATTGGCTTAAACAGCACGTATTACTTTACAATACTGCTCAGTTGATAGTTCCGTTGTCAGTCAAATGAATTCCACTGCTAGACACAGATCCGACCAGGACCGCGAAGATGACCAGAAAATTCACGATGCAACTTGATTATCAAGTTCTGGGTTGAATCAAATGAGATCAGGGTCATGGGTTGTTTTATAAGAATCGAATCGCTATTCGACGCGACGGGTTCAAAGAATGCCCTGCTATCGGCAACCCGTTAACCTGTCTCAATCAATGAGGTAATAATACAATTGACTGTAGCGATGTTCGTACGTACTCAACGTACCGTGAGAATTATATTCACGGTGCAAGAACAGATTGTCCACACGAGATTCAATGAATGTTTACACTGGTTTGTTTTGACGTGGAATCGCGGTGTCGTGTCGCGAGACCTTAATGATGGTATACGTGATCCATGTTATTGAGGCACGTTGCAATAAAAATACATAATGGCGATCTGTGTGTGTAATGTCCTATTGTACGTATTTTAATCTTTTGTACTTGTGTTGTGGATGGGAAGATTGAAGATCAGATTTGATTATATAAATTCGGATAGTTCATTGGTAATGATGTGTGATGTTTAGGGTACAATTTATAAAAATGATAATTGTTGATTAATTATATTAGTGAAATAGCCGTGGGCAGGCCACATAGCGCGAAGGTCGGACGATGGTTGGGGCAGAAAGATTCTTGAGTGGAGACCCCGTACTGGTAGACGCAATGTAGACGGCCACCTGCTAGATGAACCGACAACCTAGTGAAAATCGCTTGGCTACGTTGGATGCAAGTGGCAACAGCCCGACCGCGCTGGAGATCGATTGGAAAGGCTTATGTTCAGCACTGGACAGCTATATGCAGTAACGATGAATTAAGTTAGGGCAATTGTTTATCGTGGCAGGCCCAAACTCTGATGGTTAGATGGTGTAGAACGTGAACTCAAAGTTATCGGTGTCATGAACTGGACCGAGAAAGCCCTGAACAAAGCAGTCTGGAGAGTCATACTGGACCAGGCTAAGGCCCACCCTGGGCTGCAAGGCCTAAGATGATCATGAATCGTTTATAATCTAGCTTGCGACATGAGGCCGTATTGTATAAGGTTTATGTTTCATTCTTCCAACCAGAACGGACGGCTGCTTTGCGGTAGATATAGGTTGGATGGTTTTAATAACAGTATTCGGCACAGCTATCTGGATTATCAACGAACAAGCACGCAGCCACATTTACGCAAATTGTGTTAATTTCAAATAAGGTCATCCTGCCAATTCCGTGTTTTAACAAAAAACATTCGCACATCTTTGTATAGAGTTGACTGGGGACGAAAACATATGGCGCGCATCTTGGCGTGATCAATGACGAAACGTCTAGAAAAAACTTATAACCGATGCACAACTGAGGTTAATATCCATTGCCCAATTCGTGTCAGAGGAATGTATTGTTAGGCATTGAACGATTTATTGTTAGCACACATTGATAATGGTAAGGTCGATTTAAAGTGAGCGACAGATGTACACTGTATGTCATTGAAATTCTTTCTCGTTTCTCGAGATGTGGCAGCTTTTGTAGGAGTTTCGATATCCGCTTAATACTATATGGGCTGTCACATATCTAATACATACAAGAGGGTCTTACTGGTTTTGGAGCGTTTTATCTGTCTGCTCGGCTAGGTAGTGAGTGGCATCAACATACAGTTTTCGATTTGCCCTCTGAGTTTCTCTCTTCTCAGTGGGTCGCGATTCCGATCTGTTAATGGGCAGCGGCTTGGCTCTGCCCCTGGCATTACTGACTCCCATGGGCGACGGTAACCACTCACCATCCGGTGGGCCGTATGCTCGTCTGCTTACAAGGGCGATATAAACAAAAATATTCTGAAAAGCACGGATCTTGCTAGGTCTAGTGTTAGCAAATTCTCTTAGGTTGAGCCCGCGAGCTCACCTATCCATTCGTATCAACTCTGATAGTGTGCGGTATTTCATGAATACATATCTGCTGGTTCCAGTAATCGCCCCCCCGGACTGCGAGGTCATCTGTCAGTGAACTCCAATAACAATAATTTGCTATACAATCGTCCAATCCCAAAGATAAGAAAGATACTTGATCGTCCAGCGATTCTAAAGTGCTTCAAATGCTCGGGTTTCTATTTGTTGCGAAGTTTCTTAGACAAGTACAGACCCGCCTACTGTAGAAGTACCAATAGCTATCTAAATGTTGTGTAACGATCACTTGAATGCTGTCTCAAGTTCATTGCTCCCTTTCTAAGACTAGCCATGCTTAATAAGTTCTTGAACGTTTCGTACACGTGTAGTAGTTTTGACTAATATCGTTACAGTTGTGTTATGGTTCGGGTTAGGACCACAGTCGTGCTATTACCGTAAGCCTTTCATAATTCAAGAGTAAATAGTCGTTCTCATCTGGTCTAGTGTTGTTGGTTCAGAATTTGGGTGTTAGGAAATCCCGTTGAGTTTCTCGCCGGATTTCTCAGTGGGTCGCGATTCCGATGCGGTAGTACATTCAGCGAAGCACTGGTCTCGCTAGGGCTGGTATTAGCAATTCTGTCAGGTTAAGCGTGATCTATCCCACGTACTGGTCCGCATGAAGTTGGAATAGCCCCTTAGACTAACAACGATGGGGAAAAAAGGTGTTACGATAACGGGTGCAAGGATAATACGGACCCTTTTGGACGATATAGAGAAATAGAGATCTTCTCGATGCCTCCAATGAACACTACTCTAACTCCAAATTCGTAGGTTTACAGGAGGAGCGCTTAAACGAAAAAAGTTGATAAATATATCTGCAATACTAAAGATTTTATGGTTTTTTCTTGTGTAACTACCCGATTTACTGTTGCTTCGAAACCCACTAATAATGAATTTGTAATACTTTTAAAATAGTGAAGCGATTTGCGTGAAAAACGAAAATTTCAAAATTTTGAGTTAGATTTAGTGTTCATTGGAGGCATCGTTCTGGCCACCGACAACCTCCTGAACTTGATTTAAGAAAAAAATGCACTCATGCAAACTTCCAAGTGACTACAGCACCTATATTTTAAAAATAATAACAGACTAAAAATTCCGCTTAAGAATGTGGATAGCAGTAATACTTAGGGTCCAATTAGAGCCCTATCAGTAATGTATGATGACAGTTTACGTAAGACTACAAAGCTGAATAGTCACGGTTGTGTTGTCATGGTAATGAATGCTCGTGTATGATTTGTGCGTCTGTGTTTGTGTGTGTATGCTAAACTAATTATTGAGACGCGTCGCTACTGATCGTCATGTAAGGGACTTAATAATTGGTCAATCTATATAAACTTCGTCGGAGTTCAGACCGACCTACCAATGCATGCGTGTGCTCAACACATTGTACAAGGGCCCTGCGAAAACGCGGGCTTCGAAGTCTGTCGCTTTAACGGTGGCCCTGCAATAACGCGGGATTGTTTACCTGGGTAATCTGCATTCCGTTGCCCTGATTATGCTGATCTTAATTTTTTTATAGTTTTACGAAATTGTACAATTTTTTTTAATATTTGCTTCACGTATGATTGCTAACAAACGAATCATGCCGGGCGCCTAGGTTTTACGCTGTCGATGTGATATCGGCGCTCAGTCTGTAAATGTCTCAGAAGCCACGGGCGTACAATGCGTTAATTTATTCTTTATTGATTATTATTTTTATATTTATCCACTCCCATTGCCTACAAGCCCTAAACACGTCATTACAGGTCCTCCCGATCCATTAACGGTGATTTTAAGTACCTCAAGCACCGGTCACCGCCCTCGCCGAACCCGTCGCTAGCGACGATGGGCTCGACGAGTGAATTAACCCATAGACACAGCGCCCTGAGTTTCTCGCCGGATCTTCTCAGTGGGTCGCGTTTCCGATCCGGTGGTAGATTCTGCGAAACACTGCTCTTGCTAGGGCCAGTGTTAGCAACACTCCCGGTTTGAGCCCCGTGAGCTCACCTACGTGTCAAGGAAAAGCTGAAAAAGCTTACAAATAATATCGATTTTTCGTGAAATCGTCGTATCGAATATCGTGTATCAGAATATCGCTTGGAGTTGTTCCCTTTGTATCTGCAAGCTAGGGCTGGTATCGACAGATGTTCCGTGCTATTGTGGTGCATTATCGCACCTGGCCTTCCATATCGCCCTTTTTTTATGATGTTGTATAGTTTCGAAGGAGTTGTCACGTTGTAAAGGGTATATAGAAAAGGACACGAGTAATTTCGTTAAAAAAGACTTTAGGAACTTTTTTTGTACAGTAACGCGAGTGAAACTTCTATTAAAAGCTGATTTCTAATAAATCAAATAATATTACAATTATCTATAGTAAAGTACACTTTTTCCTTATTTATTTTAGTTTATGATTTCCTTACTAATAGGGTAGTTCGAGTCTGAAGTATTAGATTGCAATTAGATGTATATAGACTTGGCGTCTTTGATTTCCTTCCATAAACAGATGATGGTATATTTGTAGTCGACACATCTTAGAGAGATAATCCACCTTTTAAAGCATTACCCAACATAAAACATATTTACCATGTTCAGAGAATTTAATAAGCATTAATTGTTCACTTAGCAACATCGACGCTCTGTGCAATATGTATCGAGTTACCTTTGATATCGTTGACATCAGATAACCTTAGTTTAAAGAAGTCTCATAAACAGAGGGCCATTATGAACGGTCATGTTTGTACCTCGTTGAATGTCTCCAATTCAATGAGGCCTTTGTATAAACTGCATACCAGATCACGTATGTACCTACATTGATAATGGTACGGCCCACCCACGTTCTGTGATAACAGCTGGTCTGTTGGCGAGTTGGGAAAAGTTGGGAAAACAGAACTCTTTTGAGCCTTGAATTCCGATATTTAGATGTTGGATTTCTGAAATAGTTTCGATATATATTTCAATTTGAAGTGTGTAGACGTCATCCAGTGGTTTTATACCAGGCGTTTGCTATCTTAAGTTGGGTGGTTGCAAGTTCGATATATATTTTTTTTATTTAATCTTCACAGTAAGCTGATTTTTTTCCCTACCTATGCTGATAGCCTTGAGAGGCTATTTCAGCTTTACGCTAGCGTGTTACCCTAACGGGGCTCAAACCGGAAGTCTTACTAACACTGGCCCTAGCAAGAATAGTGCTTCGCAGAATATACCACCGGATCGGAAACGCGATCCACTGAGAAGATCCGGCGAGAAACTCAATGGGTAGTGTCTATGGGTTAATTTAGTCGTCGAGCCCTTCGTCGCAAGCGACGGGTTTGGCGAGGGCGGTGCTTGAGGTACCTAAAAGCACCGTTAATGGATCGAGAGGATACGTAATGACGTGTTTAGGGCGTAAGCTGTCTTTAGACATTCAACCGTAGTTTTGAGAAAAACAATTTCATAGGCGGTGCATGCACAATGTCTAGTGACATATCCAATCGATCAATCTACAGTGGATCTAGTAGATCTTGAGGCACTCTTCAAAGTCATTTGGTTTACCATTAGATGCTTAGCAAGGTTATTTGAGTGGGTTTCTAATCTTTTAAAATAGGTTTTAGCTCTAAGGATTATTTCTCTTCTCTTATTATATTTGTTTTCTTTTCATTCCAGACGCACAAGCTGTACGCCTTCCGTTATTGGGGCTGCGAGTTACTATGTCTCGTGAATATCATTCTGCAAATGTGGATGATGGATAACTTCTTCAACGGGGAGTTTATGTCGTACGGCACCAGGGTTTTGGGGTACAGCGAAGTCCCGCAGGAAGAAAGGTCTGCTGATTTCACAACCTTATCAGATCGTAACAATTTAATGAATTCTGTTATTCATGCCCACGTCCTTACGGAGCCATCTGATCCACTAACTCAGTCGCCTGCAACTCTAACACTTGGAGCAGGCATAGGGACCCTGGAAACCGTACTCGTCGAATGCAATGAAGAGTTCGACGTTTATTTATACATCAGCCCGCTGGGTTTCTCACGGAATCTTTTTTTTTATTGTCCATTGTAGGCAGACGAGCATAATGCCCACCTGATGGTGAGTGGTTCTCATCATCATCTCATCTCATCATTTCAGCAAGAAAAAAATATTCTCAGTGTGCTATCTACACCAGAACTAGCTTGTCAATGTACTTAAATACCGCATTCGTGTTGCAGATACGATCCGATGATATACGTGTTCCCTCGCATGACTAAATGCACGTTTCACAAGTTCGGCGCGTCCGGCAGCATACAGACCCACGACAGTCTCTGCGTCCTCCCGCTGAACATCGTCAACGAGAAGACGTACATCTTCCTCTGGTTCTGGTACATCATATTGGCGGTCGTTCTCACTCTGCTCGTCATGTACAGGTTAGATCATGATTGATTTTGGTTTGGTGTTTAGGTCGTCGCGCACGGATCAGTAATGCTGACTTTATTTATGCTGTTAGAGAGCCAAGCTGATTAGCGACGGTTAAAGCATCGAAATTCATATATACAGGCTTGGCTGGGCCCCTGGAATTGCTGATGTCCATGAACTACGACTACATGCGAACGGTTGAGTCGCGTGTGTCGTGAAAAAGTGTCCAACCAACGCCTCGGTCGGAGAAATTGAAGCACCCAAAGTAAAAAGGGTTTTTTTTTTAACATCATACCTTAGAATCTTTCCATATGATCTCTGCTGTCCTGATGACGCAGAAGTTTCGTATCGAAATGAGTGGTGGGAAAATATTAGACTAACTATATTAAGCTAAGTTTTCTGTTGTAGATTTAGTCGTCGTAGCCTAAAGGATAAGACGTCCGGTGCATTCGTATGTAGCGATGCACCGGTGTTCGAATCCCGCAGGCGGGTACCAATTTTTCTAATGAAATCATACTTAACAAATGTTCACGATTGACTTCCACGGTGAAGGAATAACATTGTGTTAAAACCAAATCCGCAAAATTATAATTTCCGTAATTACTAATGGTAGGACCTTTTGTGAGTCCGCATGGGTAGGTACCACCGCCTTATCTATTTCTGCCGTGAAGCAGTAATGCGTTTCGGTTTGAAAGATGGGGCAGCCGTTGTAACTATACCGAGACCTTAGAACTTATATATTTTCAAAGTGGGTGGCGCATTTACATTGTAGATGTCTATGGGCTCCAGTAATCACTTAACACCAGGTGGGCTGTGAGCTCGTCCTAGATGGGTATCTAAGCAATAAAAAAAAGAAAAAGATAAATTGTGTGTGCTCACAAGATAATTTAACGACGAAGGTGTACAGTCACGTACAAAAGTAAAACCTTGAGATTTTCCTGGTGGTAATGCACACTGTCCGTCTAGTTCGGCCATGAAACATGCGCTTCGAAGGAAATCGTCTGAATGTCTTATAGGTAACGGATTAATTGTGAACTCCGATAAGATAAAAATACTATATACAAATAAAATGACCTCAAAAATTTGGCCCGTTGCTCACAGACTGGTCATAATCTTCATGCCGGCGGTGAGGCCACGGTTGCTGCACGCGAGGTCCCGGACCTTGTCTCTGGAGACGGCGGTGGCGGTCTCGCGCCGGACCGACCTGGGAGACTGGTGGCTGCTGTACATGCTCGCCAGGAACATGGACCCTCTCATATACAGGTGAGCGTCTCTGGGAGAGGCAGGGGACCGCGGTCTCCCGGGACTACAGTAAACTCTTATCTATTGCAAAACAGCAGAGTAATTCGGGAATTAAACAAATTTCATAGCAAGTATTCTCTGGACGTTTCTGCTGGCATGAGCTTTTTAAATTATGTAAAAGTGTATTTGGTAGTAACTGTGATATTTTTTTTCTCCTACCTAAGCTGAGAGCTTTGAGAGGTTATTTCGGCGTACCTTAACTAGTAGGTGAACTCACGGGGCTCAAACCTGACGACGTTGCTAACACGAGCCCTAGCAAGAGCCGTGCTTCGCAGAATCTACCACCGGATCGGAAACGCGACCCACTGAGAAGATCCAGCGAGAAACTCAGTGGGCTGTGTCTTAGGGTTTATTTACTCGTCGTCCTTCGTCGCAAACGCCGGGTTCGACGAGAACAATGACCGGGTCAATGTGTAATAATGTAAAATTTTGTAAAAAAAATTATGGTAAAAAACCTAAGAAGAAATGGATGGATTGCGTGAAAGACGATATGTGTAAGAAGGGAGTGAGCGAAGAAATTGTATATAATAGAGGAGTATGGAAGGAGAAAACATGTTGCGCTGACCCCAGGTGACTTGGGGAAGGGCAGGTTAATGATGAATGTTAAATTTTCATGCAGTGTTATATATATATTTTTTCTTTTTTCTCTAGTATTATACAATAAACAGCTTTTTTTTACCAATGGATGCAGTCGGTACCTGTAATTGTGTTAGCATTTAGTGTGAGATCAATTATTATGTTGCATGTTGCGCATGTTGCGGATAATAACATGTACTTTTAGGTTAGGAATATTGTGTTCTTTTTTTTATAATAAAGTAGTGATATTGTTGTCAAAATAATTATTATGTTACCTGTAATGTTCTGTGCTGCTGTATAACATACCAGCATGTTATAAATAAAATAAAATTTCTGCCGCGGAGTACCCAATTTCAATTAGTCTTTACTCCAAATAGTTGACCAGGGTCATAATAATGATTAACTATTGTTTACATAAGAAATAATTAAAACAATAAGTGGAAATAATATAAGAAGTTAGGGTTTTTAGCGGGGATCGAGGGGTCGGTCCCCTTTTTGCAAATGCACGTGAACGTCGACGTCATTGTTCAATAGTGTGCTCTCTTTCGCACCAAATTTCTTAATACACTTTATATGTAGCTTTAATTTTTTGAAAATTTTATAGTCTGGTAGTCTTAACTCTTATATTCGGTTATATTGAAGACAACTCTTATTCTTTTATATGAAAAATTATATGAAGCGAAATGAACTGAAATTTATTAATTTGAGAGTAAAATCAATTGGGTTACAATTAAATTTTTTTTAAGGGATTTTATGACCTGGTTACTAAGACCTTTAAGTCAATTCTTATTTTAATTTATATTCTTACTAGCGACCCGCCCTCGCTTCGCTTCGGAAACATTAAAACACACATGAAACCAAAAAATAATAATAAAAAAAAACAAAAAAAAAAGTAGCCTGTGTTCATCAGGGACAATGTCGGCTTCTAATGGAAACAGAATTTTTCAAATCGGTCCAGTAGTTTCGGAGCCTATTCGAAACAAACAAACAAACAAATCTTTCCTCTTTATAATATTAGTATAGATTTTTACAATTAAATGAAATGAGACGAAATGAGATGAAATAAAGTATCAGTATAAGAGTTCGACGTGCAACTTAGCCATAGACACAGCCCACTGAGTTTCTCGCTGGATTTTCTCAGTGAGTCGCGATTCAGATCCGGTGGTAGATTCTGCGAAGCACTGCTCTTGCTGGGGCCAGTGTTAGCTACACTCCGGTTTGAGCCCCGTGAGCTCACCTACCTGTCCATACCAGCGTAGCTGGAATAAGCTCTTAGGCTACCGGCGATAAGGTAGAGAAAAAAACTAACAAAATAAAACAATTCACACAATATTCCCACTCCCGTTCCCCCCTTTTATTTCTGTTTTCATTGATCTCCTTATCAGGTTCAGTTACATGTTTGTCCGAAGCGATATTTAGTCGAAAACAGTTGAACTTATATAATGGTATGTTATTGCAGGGAGCTGATGATAGACTTAGTTAAGCGTATGGGAGAGAAGATCCCGCCCAGGGCGTGACGGCGAGCGAGGACGCGGCGCGGCGCCCCCCCGACCGCTCCCCCCACCGCCCCCCCGACCGTCGCCGTCATCGGCGCTCGACACTAGCGCCATCTAGAACTGCTGTACGACAACTACATTCTAATTGTGAAATACAATAACGGGAGACGTGAAAGTGCTCGCAGATTGTGCGCAAGTCGCTCTCATTGTTATTGACTTGACAAAAAAAACAATATTATTCCATCTTTCCGTTATTGCATTATGCAATTACCAAACCATTATTTAAATAAGACAGTTGTTTATTGTAGCCACCGCGGTATACTAAAATTGTTTTTTTTTTTTAAATGGATTCGTATGAAAAGTTTTTAGAAGTCGATCTATCAAATTGTATGTTAAATTTTGTTTTGTTTATCGAAGAAATAATCTATTCGGAACTTCGATTCTGAGAGGCAGCATTTATAAGGCGAAACTGTATGTAGACTCATTGTTTTATTGAGACGCCTTCCGAGGTGGTAGCGTTGTGCCCGATCGGTGTGCTCAGTGTGAGTATCTTAACGTTCTCGATAGCGTAAAAGTTAACTCAAATTTGTATGCAGTTGGAACAGCGCCCCTACCGGCAAACGTACGCAAACAGTCCCATTCTATACAAATGTAAGTTAACTTTTACGCTATCGAGAATGTTAAAAAACTCGCCCTAAGCACACTGGTATTTTATACCTCTCGTTGGGGGAACGAAGTCATTGACCGTCCGTTGATAAGTTGGTACTGGTACTCAATAAGCATGCCTTTAATTAAAATTTTTCTGACGAGAACCATTTATAAATACTAAACGATTGGTCTGAAATCACTTTGCAACTTCCCAAAGAAGCGTCTCAATTGTGAGGCCCGGACTAGGGATCCGGACAGCAATAAGCATTTGAGACGATGAAGCATAAACTGCACAACACTTGACTGAAAATAATCGGGACCAAAATGCACGATTGGCTAATCACACAAGCCCTACACACATATGACGTCACGCAATATGATTAGTATCAATATCGACTTGTGAAAGTATTGCAATTATGTTCAGTGATTTGAATTAATTTCTCATTAGAATTGGCGTCTAGTGACTAGGATCAAGTGATTTGATGATCTTATATATACCTTTTGGATTGTTTTGTTATTGTTGTCCGTTTGCCTATTGTGCTATATATTATTTGCTGCCCATGCAAAACCGACGTCACGATCCCGCTCAAATATATGAATTTTATAATTATTTTAACGTAACCAATAGTTTTTGTTAAGAAAGACACTTTTTTATACGTCATTAACTTCTTTTTTTTTTTTTTTGATAGGATATTGTCACAACAATAGCTATAAGATTCAAGAACGATATTTATAAAGTTATAAGTGTGATCAAAGAGTTTTTTATGCGGTTAAAGACTTAGGTTAACGATGACAACTTTTATAGCTTTGAGTTAAACAATATCATGTGTTGTTTTAAAAGTAAAAAAAATATTATGGTGTGACTCATAATTGTCAAAACTATTTCTTTAAGTTAGTGAATTTACAAAAAAAAATTGATACTTTAAGGGTTATGATGATACGATTGCGTATTGAGTTTTACAGAAGGAATAAAAAACAAGCTTAAAAACAAAAAGGAGTTTCTCAAAGGACGAAATAATTCATTAATCGTCGTGAAGTCGAATTAGTAAAGGATCTTATTAATTATTAAACATTGAGAAGATGTTCCTAAGATATTCCCGCGAATTTTGGCATCGTATTTGTATATTGACGTCACTATTCACTATCGCGTGCTCTGTCGTAAACGAAATTCAAATTATTTCGGAGTAGATTTTAATGTTTGAGTTCGGCGATCGATATTCGCGGATAGTTCTATCTGAAATAAAATATTAGTTAAGCTGCTGTCGAATATATTTGAGACTTTGTTAATTTGAAAAACAAATAAATAGAATCTCGTTGGAAATATAATAAAAAATGATTTTATGAAACGTTGTGTTCTTAGATAAATACAATGAATCTGAGAGTCTCTCTCCTCCTACCTCAAGAAAGACATTCGTAATAAAAATATTTTTATTTATTTATTTCTAGATAAATTTAACGAAGATTTCGTTTCGATCATCGTGTTTTTGCATCACATTTACAATGTTATCAATTCGTATGAAATCATTTTTAATGCATATATGACTCTTAAAAAGAATACGGACGTTTTACGGATGTTTTATATAGCAATGATCCAAAATTGATAAATATTTTTTAATTTTTGTAAATCCTAATGAGGCAGCGCCATATTATAATATATTGATGGCGATGTTTGTAGACAAAGGTTTTTTTAATAACTTTTTTAAAACTTGCAAAAATAAAATGCGATAGGATTTTTTCTTTTTAATATTTCACACGTTTTCACCGATTCTCATTAGATTCTGGGCTGCTCTTAAAATGTTGAGTCTAGTAAACAAAAAGAATGTAGCCTAACAGATAAAATATGGCGGCTTTACTTCTAAGTTAAAACTAACGCAGTTGTTTGACCGCGACTTTCTTAATGAGGCTATAAATAAATTATCTAGAGCTCAAGATGTTGTTCTGTGTGCAGAGGAATATACAAGCTATATTATATTTTTATTACAAAAAAAAAAGACAAAAAAATCTGACGACGAACTAGAGATCACATTATCGCGTTATCCTAATCAAATACCATAAAAAAATATCCTATATATTAATCTAAATAGTAAATTATCTCTGTGCGATATTCATTCAAAACCATTCGGTCATTTTTGCGTGAACGAGTAACGAGCATACTAACCTACGCATTTATAATATACTAGCTGTACCCGTCCGCTTCGCTGGGCATTTGAAATTAACATTATTATTTCTCACTCCCACAAATATTCTCATCATTAACGCCCCCGCAACTGGTGTAGGGAGTCTAACACTCACATAAATATTAGCCTATCCATTAAGTACATGTATTTTCTACATGGATACCAAGTTTCAAGTCAAATGGATGCATGGTTCAGAAAGTTATAATGGGACATCCGTAGAAACCACTAAATTTATATATTTGTATAGATTAGACGTTAGTTCTAACAAAGTTCAAATTTCATTCGTCCGCGGACACGTAAACTCTTAAATTGTAGAAACATCGGAAATAAAATAATTAACTCAAAAAATCCAAGATAATTTTCGAGTTTTTTTCCTTTTTCTCGTGGATTGGTTCTTTATTGCATATACAGTTTATAATCCAATTTTATGTTGTCGTTAGTGTATGTTAAATAAAAAAAACAACATGGCTGCCTGTACCTCTGATAGAGAGAGAGCGTTTAATTATTTTCATTGTTTGGATCTTTATTGCATATCACGATCTGACCGGCTATAATCTGTATTTATTTTCTTCGTTCTCTAAACGTAATCACTGCCATGAAAACTTTTCAAGTTATATTTTCAACGCTAAAGACATATTGTATTTACATATCATAGCAATGTTTTTTTTTAAATTTATTTTAACGTAAAATCAAGAATTGTTCGTATTTAAATATAAAGTATGTATGTATTATTAATTGAAATGTAAATCTCAAAATTAAGTGAAGGATAATTATAAGAGTTTTCACAGATAATGTGATACTCTGTAATGTTTTTTCTCATCACAATTATTTTTAAATTCTGAATTGACTATGATTTTATTTTTTTATGTGTAAGTAATAATGAACCGTAATTATATAACGTCGTTCATTATATTAATGAAAGTATGTTTTGGTAACGATTTGTGAATTTTGATTGTGAAGAGTTTAGTGAAGTAAGTGAATTTTGAAATTTTTTTGTTTCGGAAATATTTTGAATAGATTTTATTAGGTGCTTGTAAAATTTTACATAGCAGCAGCAATATTGTGAATGAACTCGTATAGATCTGCCTATTCCTGTCTATTTTACCCCGATGGTAGAGTTTTCTGCCTATTCCTGCCTATTTTTACTCTGATAGTGGTATCTACCAGTGAAAGCGTACGACACTCCACTATACAATAATTTGACATTGAATCTCTTCACAATCGTCCTATTATACATATGTATGTTAAGCTCACGAACAAAATGACTGTTTTATATGGCCTTAGTATGTATATGCATGTGTAGAAAATAAGTTGACTATTGTGGTCCTTTTGGACTGAGTTTGTGAACTTCAACATTCTGCCGTCCGCTTCGGATATTAGAAAGAGACGTAACCAGAATCGGCTAGTGTTGTCTTTTTCGCACGACCGACGCGCGAACGGCGACAATTAGTGCATTAAAGATGGCGTCAAACTATATTTTTATTTGAATATTTTTTTAATTAATTTTACACATTCTTCTAATATGAATCTCTTTAAATGATTGACAGTTATAATTGTCAAAACTCAAGCTAGCCGTCTCTTTCTAACTTTGGCAGTACAGAACCGAAGCAAAAGGCAGCTAGCTCATTAATTGTAATTTGCGATTTTGCAATAATGGACTTTAAAATTAGGTCGCGCAAGGCTTAGATTTGTACGTATGTTTTACGAATGTATCGTTGACATATCTATTCGTTTTTACGAATGCTCTCCAATATTGAACCTTATGGGTATACTTGTAAAACGTTAATTCGATTGCATTTAATTATTAGTAAGGGATATTGTGTATTCTATTTCTTTGCTGTTAAAGCTTATAATGGTAATTTTGATCCGCTTTGGTTTAAATGGGGAGGAGAATCTCCTAGACTTTTTTATTCGTTGTGAGAGCATCAATGAATACCAATATCCTGTCGTTTTTAGTAGGGTCTATGGGCTTCATTCCACACCACGCGACTGGCTCGTTCTCCTATATAAGGCAATATAAAACACGAGGAATTGGTTTGCATTAATTCTGCCGCTTACACCGAAGCGAATGTGGCGCGCGGCATTTATAGCCGAGATGTCGGTGATCATCCTCGCGAGCACACAACCTATCTTCCACCATTTCAATTTTATTTACTTATAAGCGAACAAATTATGAAGAGCAGTTCGGTTTTAAATTTAATGTTATTAAAATTTGTAGTGTCAAGAAAATCGTGTCGAGCGAAAGTAGCTCTTACGCAAACGTGTTGTGATCTGAAGATCGTGTTCATTTTAATTAGTATTCCAATATTCGGTAGCTTTATATTTACAATTTATGTAACTATTATGGGAATGTAGATTATGATTTTGCGTAGGATCGTTAATGTTTTGTATCGATAAAGTGCGGTTCGATTTTTTTTAAAGTATCGATTTTTATCGATTCTTTTTAAGACTAAAAAGGTCAAATGTAAATGAGAAATTCAATTTACGTTATTAGTTTTGAATAACAACATATATTTTGCTGGCAACAACTTTTGTAAAACCTCCGTCGAGGTATATAAAAATTAAGTATATTAAGAAGTAATAATTGAAATCAAGTCAGTAAAGTTCTATGACATGCTTGAACCTCTCCGGTTGCGATGAAATGGGCTCTGTCTCGTTGTTGTATTACGAGTTTAGGCGTAGAATTTAATTGCAAACCTTAAAACAGTGACGTCATAATTCAATAGCGTTCTGTCGCGCGTTCTGTGTGTAATTAGTAAGCAGATTTTGATTTTGTGTTGTCTAGAGTCAAAACATATCACAATATACGCGGAAAAACAATATCAATTCATCATGGATGAATGACTAATTTGTTTTTGTCCGCACCAAAAATAGACTGGTTTTGCATAATGATGACCTTACAAATACTGCAACTTATCTGTCTTAAATGTCATAGAAAATTCAGGCCTATTTAAAGTCGGTTAAGGTAGCTCACAAAAACTGACAATTTTTTTTTGTGCTGTCGATAAACAATGATTCTTGAAAAACTTGTCACTTCTATTATCTTGCATTTTGATTTCCCAATATTACTTTAAAATTTTACAATTAAAACATTTTTTTCTAAAGATACTTTGTATAATAACAACAGACAAGTAATTGGAAACAGCGTAGAGATTTGTGATTGGGAAAAAAACATTTGATTTAAAAACTATGTTCAGCTAAGGACCTTGTTAGGTTAGCGATTTAGAAAGTTTTTCTTCAATTCAAATTTTATATATTATTAAATAATTGTTGCAATGGCATACCATAGTATCAATAAAGACTTGGCTGCATGAGCCAAATCTCCTTTAATTTTTAGGTGGAATAATAAAAAAAACCATGGTTGTATTTGAAAAAATCCGTCAGAATAATCAAGAAACGTTTAGAATACCCTTCTAATACTAATTGCCTTTTTGTTCACATACTTTGAGGCTTCTCAATTTTTTAGTTTAGTCCTTACATAGAAAGAATGGTTAACCGAATTATTTAATATATAAATTTAGTATATTCCTTTATAGAAAAGGTTATTAAGTGATTTGCTTCATTTACAAATTGGTTCGTTTATTTTTATCTTTTACATCACTACATATATTTTCGAGGCCTTTGGCAGGAATAATGCGTCTTAATTCTTTTCTCAAAATTGTAATGGTTCTTGGGATACCATTGTTGCCAGTGACGATTTTATATAAATCATCAATTATTATATACATGCATAAGTATGTATATTAAATTATATTGTACCCTGTTTATGAAAAATGATTTAAAACGGATTGAAATCAAGTTAATTTATTTTAAATTTTAATTAATTGGGATTAAATTAAAATATGATATGGCATGAAACGAGACGAATTTAAATAATGTCCCAGTAAAATAGTCGAATTTGCTGAGACTTTAGTTGTTCTTTTTGGACCAAACCGCGTTGAACGATTTTGTTCCATTCTCTCACACTTTTGTACTTTCGCAGACGCTAAAGGCTTAATTAGCTATCGTTATTCCACTTTATAACCCGAAGAAACCTCGAATGATCAAACTAAAACAATTCAGACAAATTTTCCTATTCGCTTCGCGTTCCCGCCAATAAATCTAGCAAACGTCTTGTTTTCATGACGTCTCCGACTTGGCAGCTGTCAGTTTTGACGTTTTACATTTTTGTAACGCGGAGAATCGATTAAGTAATCTCGTCAATTGTATTAGTTAAATTTACATTATTTATTTTGAAGCCATTATTGTGTCGTTATAATTTTAATGATGTATGTATTATGTAATCTAAATTAATAAAAATATTATTTTTCTTAGTTCTATACTTTTAAGTTGAGAGTAAATAAATGACTTGATTTTTATGAATTTGATGTGTTATTTTTTTTTAAAACAAACCTAAAATTATGAGCGAAATCCGGCCACGCTTTTCCGTATTTTCGGCTGATATTAAAAAGCGAATTTTGTTCACAATGTATATTAAAAAAAAAAAACTTCAGGCCACGTTCGTCCACTGGTTGACAGGCCTCTGTATGTATAATACATAAAAAATAACTAATTATGAATGTAATAATTGCTTTTAGTTTTGCACGGAACCCAGAATCTTTTCTGAAAATTAAAGGAGCCTAAGTTACTCATAGTCTCAATTATCTGTCAATGATTGTGGCGTCAAAATTGGACTTGAGATTTTGGAGATTAGTCGGAACAATCAGAGACTGAGTATATATTTCTTAATCGTACCGGGGGGTGGCGGATTCAATCGCTATGCGACTTAACCCGAGTCAAAGAGAAGTGATCACACTCATGCATTTGTTTACCTTATTCAGTCTAAGGTGACGTCGGACAAATTGTTCCCCGTCTAATTATCATATAAATATTAAATAAAATTAATTAAAAAATAAAAAGAAAGAATAAAAACTACGTGCTTCTTATAATATTTATATATTAATATTATTTCAATTATCAAATTTAGTTTTCAGAATTACTATCTATTAAATACTATCCATGATATATATATGATAAATGTTTGAAATTTCTTCCTGTGTACTTGGTCCTGCAACAAAAAAAAAGCATGAAGGAATAGAGTGACAAAGGGAAGGAAGGAAACGAACGGCTTACAGTAACTACCGTAGCTATTTAATTTTTCTATAAGTACAGGAAGGATTCCTTAGTTAGGAAAAAATATATCATTATCATATCAATCCGTGTATTATCTATGGTCAATCCGCTGTCAAACTTTGAAATATTTTTATTTGTAAATTCCATAGATTATATGAATATACTTTAATTGCATTCTTGAGAATCCATTTGACTGTATTTTTTTTATTTTTTATTTATTTATTAGATGGTTGGACGAGCTCACAGCCCACCTGGTTTTAAGTGGTTAATGGAGTCCATAGACATTTACAATGTCAATGCGCCACCCACCTTGAGATATAAGTTCTAAGGGTTCACATGAGATCCTACCACCAGTAATTACGCAAATTGTAACTTTGCGGGTTTGATTTTTATTACACGATGTTATTCCTTCACTGTGGAAGTCAATCGTGAACATTTGTTAAGTATATATTTCATTAGAAAAATTGGTACCCGCCTGCCGGATTCGAACACCGTTGCATCGCTCGATACGAGTGCACCGGACGTCTTATCCTTGAGGCCACGAAGACTTCATAATGCATGCAGAATAGAGCACTCTGATTTTACAATATCCCGATCACAGGGAGCGTTTGGAATCTCTGGTTCTATATAATATGTTCCATGGGTTGTGATGATTCATTGTGATTGTGTGATTTCACCGTCGTTATCGTCATCGGGGCAGAGTTCACCTATTTGAAATCACAGCGCCATCTTCAATGCATTTTCAGATATCATAACTGTATCGTACCATCCGGCTCTTGAATAAAATCCTCTCCATGATGTTTGTTGTTATAACATGTCCTTATTCAAATAAGGGTCTGCCGCGGTTAATACCCGTCTTGGTTGTGTCAAAGATATTACCAACGTCCATAAGCTACCAATTACCATAGTGTAGAGGCCGTCTGGTTTATGAGACAAAAGTAAATAATTGCAAAAATGTTCCTCTTCATTCACTATCATTTACCTATTTATTTTCTTTTATCTCTACAGAGGCACTCTTTATTTCCGTAAATGTGTTTGTTCAGATGCGCACGATCACACAAGAGTCTGTAGCCACGTCGAACATTACACAAGTGTTTTATTAAAGTGTTCATTTTTAATTAGGTATTATTCAAATTTGAACAGCATGTAGCGTGAATGTCGAATTGAAGAATTAAATTTTACTAATTATTGTTATTGTGGTCAGACGAATATTAATCATCGTATACGACGGTTTCAGGAAGTTGTTTCTTTCATGAAGCTGCCGAACAAAATAAAGGATTTTCCTCGGTATTTGCACGGCATATCATCACGTTATTAATGATCATATTATTGGAATACTGCACAGTTTTCGTGGTCACAAACGACTCTTAATTATGCCTATCGTACATCATTCAAACTTTAGGAACACCGGGAACACAACTCGACTAACAGTGCTTTGAGGTACCTTAAGCACCAGTTACCGTTCTCTTCGAACCCGTCGCTGGCGACGAAGGGCTCGACGAGTAAATTAACTCCCACTGAGTTTCTCGCTGGATCTTCTCGATGGGTCGCTTTTCCGATCCGGTGGTAGATTCTGCGAAGCACTGCTCTTGGTAGGGTCAGTGCTAGCAACGGTTTGAGCCCCGAGAGCTCATCTACACGTTAGGGTTACGCTGACATAGCCTCTTAAGGCTTTCAGCTAAGGTAGCAAAAAAAAAACCGGAGCTTACGCCCAAACTAACGTCACACAGCGCCGGCAGCTCACGCTGTGATAATACAACGTGAATGTGTTCCCATAATTAGGTATTGAATTGTCTGCATAGTCAACATAAAGTCCCGCAGTGTAACACAGATGCTAACGTTCGCTCACGCGGCCCGCACACACATAGACACCCTCCAATCTTTACAATCCCGCTTTTGCAGGTTAGCCGTCGGAGCTCCGTGGTTCGTGAGGAACGTTGACCTACACGATGACCTGGGCCTCGAATCTATCCAGAAATACATGAAGTCAGTGTCGGAACGGTACTTCGATAAGGCTATGCGTCATGATAATCGCCTTATCGTAGCCGCCGCTGACTACTCCCCGAATCCTGATCACGCAGGAGCCAGTCACCGTCGACGCCCTAGACACGTCCTCACGGATCCATCAGATCCAATAACCTTTGCATTAGACGCCTTCAGCTCTAACACTAGGAGCAGGCTTAGGGACCTCGGTAACCGTACTCGTCGAACTCGACAAAGAGTTCGCCGTGCAACCTAACCCATGAATCAGCTCGCTGAGTTTCTCGCCGGATCTTCTCAGCGGGTCGCGATTCCGATCCGGTAGTAGATTCATTCGCGAAGCAGCTACTCTTGAGCTGTTAGGTCTCCTTCGGAGGCGCTCGGGTAGCTGTTAGCAAATCCCACCCCTCCTGGCTGAGCCTTTGCTCGCCCACGTGTCCTGGTGAAACTGGAAAGGCCTCCGGGCCACCAGTAATCTTTCAATCATAAAAAAAAAAAAGATGCTAACAGCAGTACATCTTGGTAGGTCAATGGGACCCCTTCTCGACCGGGTATCCGTAAATGGATTCCCCAGCGAAAAAAAAAAAGGTCTATGGGACAGTCTCATGAGAGCCGTGGCTCAGTCAGCAGTCTTAATTTTTTGGCGTAAAAAGGGATTACCGAATGCAGTCCTTGTATTTTTTTTTTTTTTTATTGCTCTTGTAGACGAACGAACATATGGCCCACCTGATGGTCAGTTGTTACCGTCACCCCTGACTTCAGCAATGCCTGGGGCAGAGCCAAGTTGCTGCCTATCGTGAAATTAGTTAGTTGTATGCGTTAAGGCGCCACTAACATTCCAGTCATACGCTACCTCACAGAAACAGAAGCCCTCCTCCTTTGTCTTCTCACTCCGGAATGACCCTGCGTTTTTATTTCATTTCATACCTGAGGAGCTCTCTGGTACTTATTACTATATTTACTCGCACGGGTAGATACCTACGAGTACTCAACATACTGTCTATTTATATGCCGGAAATCAATCATACATGATTTTCCAGTTTAAGACGTCGAGCCCATCACAAGATCAGTAAAGGCCACACGTTGTGATGGCGATAGACTCCGGTTCTCACTTAACACCGGGTACTCCATGAGTTCGTTCACCAATCCAAGCAATAATAATAAGTGGTTGATAGTCTCTAGATTCACATCGAGACATAGGCATTCTATTGTATTGTATATTTCATTATTTAGTAAGTTCTCTTATCAGCTTCGCGTCAGCTATGGACAGACTGGTGGCACCTACCCTGTGGCCCCACAATGCGTTCTACCACCAGAAGAAAGCTTCGTCAGTAGATTAAGCGACGTTAATGTACAAGTATTTATAATAACTAGTGGTCCCGTAGTAGTCGAAATTCGACTATAATTAATTGAAATTATAAGTTTGAACATTATTATGGTTATATGGTCAAAGACTATTATACTTCTATAATCACAGATTTCGCCAAGACTACATTATAGACAAATAATATTAAAGATAAACAATATTAACCTATTTTCAATTTGACCACAGTTTTTGACAAACTAAAGTTTGACAATAAACAAAGAGTATATTATATACATATGTGTGTGTGTGTGTCAAATACATGCCAGTGTGTGTAATGTTTTCTTTATTGATTTAATGTATTTTTATGCGTTATTTTAAAAAAATATTAGCATTGTGCACTCCTTCTCTATATTCTCTATAAGTGTGGGAAATTTCATACTCCTCCGTCCGCGCAATTTTCGTAAAAAAGGGTACAAAGTTTTTGCTTCACGTATTAATATATAGATAAAAAATAACTAACATTGTTTTACCACGGCTTTGTTCAAAGAATGCAGATTGTGTCACGTTTTTCTTCTGTTTTGGTAAAGGTACATACAGGGGTGTCTGTGCTCAGCTCATCTTTACACCTGAAACCAAATTTTTTTATCTTATTGATTTGCTATCATGTCGGACACGTGTATATCCTTGACTTCGAGCGCTTTCTAAATTGATTTTTTGGTTCAATTTTTCAATCTAAGTACACAATTGAAGGCCAATTTCGAAATGGTTCAACCCTACCCAAAACTACTCATGCGCAAATATACACATGGACATAATGTTTACTAACACTATTTATATATTTAAATATACTATATGCAAATATTTATATACCTACACAAAGAATCTTTTAAGATAATTTTCACCAAAGTCAAGATGTCCAATTAACTTCAAGTTTTGCACACGATTCAAGTTTCGTTAAAAATATATTTATTACCTCCGTTAACCTGACCTAATGTCTAGACCAGAATCACCAAGATTAAAATACATCATTGTAATTTTTAATTTGACTTGCGCTCTGAGTGTTTCTTTTTTTTTATTGCTTATATGGGTGGACGAGTTCACAGCCCACCTGGTGTTAAGTGGTTACTGGAGCCTATAGACATCTACAGCATAAGTGCGCCACCCACCTTGAGATATGAGTTCTAAGGTCTCAAGTTAGAACGGCTGCCCCACCCTTGAAACCGAAACGCATTACAGCTTCACGGCAGAAATAGTAAAAGTTGTAGTAAAATAATGTTAATGATAATTGTAGCATAACTTACGATTGGTGTATGACAGCATCGTGCGCGCAGAAGTATCGGGTGCATTCTGCTTCCTTCGAGTATGTTACAGAATCAAAGGGAAGGACACCATCGAACTCCCTGATGTAACAGCCTTGAAGGCCACCTACATACATTTAACATTGTTTATTATACACATATATTAATTGATGACAGTAATCTCCTCTCGAGGCGCCAGGGCACCTGTTACCAAATCCCTTATCTCTTGGTTGAGCCTTTGTTCGTCAACCTCTCCTGGTAAGTCTGAAAAGGCTTCCGGACCATCAGTAATCCTTTATTCATAATAAAAGTAAATGATACAACAGGACACAAAAGTTTCGAATTTAAAGAAGATACGACTAAAAATTTAGTCTGAATTTGACTACAAAATATACGCTACTGTGCATTTTCGAAAGCAATAAAAGTCAATATTATGCAGGTTTCTATTCTAAGTTTTAACTATAAATTCATAAAATACGTAGGTTATGTATCTTTGTTATTTATTACAAAAGAGAAAATTGAAAAATTATAACGAATTTAGGCAAACGATAATACGGTTAGTGTTTGTGTTGTGTTTACAATATAGCTACATATTATTATAATGAGGACTCACTAAATTTATCAGGGATTGGCTCCAAAGCAGAGCGCTGGATCGCCGCCGAAGCTAAAGTGACGCAAACACAGAAGACTAGCGTTTTCAACGACATGTTGGTTACGAATAAAGCGTGGATTTAAAAATTGAATTTTATATCTTAGACGTGGTTATTGAAGTATGCAGGTGCGTACTCGTGGATGCAGAATTTTATTTTATAATATTTTCTTTATTTATTTATGAAGACTTAAAAGTAATGTTACATGCTGGGGTTCGGGATAAATAAACTTTCTACCGAAGTATAAATTGAAGCTGTATTGTCACTTAGAACATTTAGTGAACACTTTACAACTTGTAATTCCTTCTTCTTCCGCTTCGCTTCAGGTGATCCGTTCGCTATTTCGCTTCGAGTAGTTCCGATTAATAACTGACTTCATGCCATCTCTGCAACGTAATGCAATAGTTGATACAACATCCCTAGACTTATCGAGAACATTCTGCGCAAGTCGAGTAGCTTCGATGTGTGTTTCCGCTATCTGACAATAGATGGCGTTGTATTTCTCGAGCGTTCTCGATGTTACTAGTTCCTTTGATATTTGTTTCTGCTATTCGGCGATAGATGACGCTACTCTTAGCGGCGTAACAGTATCTTCAAGGCCTCGACGCATTTTTGCATTCGGGGGTCCGAGTGTGCCTGCAACATATGCCTCCAGCGTCACATCTCGGAGTCATCAATCTTCTAAGCTTCCCCGACGTAATATAGTCCACGTTTCTACTTCGTGCTGAAATATGAGGAACATTAATTCATCAGATTTCGATGTTGATGATGTTAAGGTGTCTCGAGACGAAAGTCTTTGACCAGTGTGTTGCCAGTGATGATACAGGCAGTGAGACATGGTCGATAGCAATAGGCCTTATCAGTAGGGCAATTCTTCTCAGTCGCATGCACTCTTGGCAGAGTGGTCGTGGTCATCACTTCGAGTGGTGGTGCCCTTCACCAGACGTCGCCATTCCTTGCGTAACGCAGCCCTTCTTGTGCATTCGTTAACGGGACCGTTTAGAGCTGCCTTTATTTGGTCGGTCCATCGTAAGGGCAATAAATAGGGCTATTCTTGGAGTTGCCCTGCGAGACCGAATCAAGAATGACGAGATTAGAAGAAGAACCTAGGTACCTGACATAGTCCGAAGAATTGTTTTAAGTGAAGGTGGATAGGGCACATTGAAGAACAGATCGCCGCTGCACGGGAAAACGCAGCGTGAGTAGGCCAGACCTCCCACGGGGTAGACCGACGACCCGCTCAAGGTCGCAGGAATCTACTGGCTGCGTTGTGGAGGACCGGTCACTGTCGTGAACACTGAGGGAAACCTATGTTCAACATATACGTCTATGGGCTGATGATGTTAATTTTATTGAGGGAGACCTATGTTTCTCAATATTTCCTCTGTCATTGATGATGATTATGTTAAGGGGTAATTATATGGTAATATCCCCTCCCTTTTCAATTGTTATTAAGTCGGGTCATAACGCCCCTGGCCATTCCAATATCCCGGTATCTCCCTACACAGCGGCCATTAATACAAATGTATGCACTTAAATACAGGCAGAATTAGTGTTTTTATAAAAACTTCAAAATAAGTACCTTAGTACGTTCGATTTAGGTAGGAAATAATAATAATAAGGAAAACAAGCAAAAAAAACAATCGGCCCCATGTAAATACGTTTTGTTTGGATTACATTTATGCTAATTTACTTCATCAATAACTAAATAGGTACTAGGTTCGAGGCTTTTTAGTAGTCAACTGTGCTTTGATTGAGTCATCACCTGAAATAGAATGTGGATATTAAACATTCGCCATATGGATTTCGAGTTGTGGTTTTAAGAGGATGTTTTTTATTTATAGTAGAAAATGTTACTACTTTCAGACTGGCTCTGGAAGGGAGAGGCGGGTGTTATGTCGCACCGTTTTTTATTATTCACCTATTTATTTAATCTTGACCGAGATTAGCACCGCTCCTAGATACCGACAACGGTACAGCTTCAGAGGTTATATGAATCCATTAATACGACAATTATCAGCCCGCTTAAAAATGTCCCCCTCCATTTTTCCTTACATCCTGAGAATCGCTTGGATTGTTCGCGCAATCACCAACCATGTGGAAGAAAGTTCCGAATGTTCAAGCGAATCAATGTTTTTTGTTTTTTCACTCGCAGCGATCATCGCGATCTGTGTGCTTAGTGCGAGTTTTTTAACGTTCTCGATAGCGAGGAAGTTAATTCAAATTTGTATACAGTTGGAACAGCGCCCCTAGCGGCAAACGTAGGCAGACGTTCCAACTGCATACAAAATTGTGTTAACTTTTACGCTATCGAGAACGTTAAAAAACTCGCAGTGAGCACAATGCAATAATTTCACTAATTACTGGACGACTGTGGTTTGACCTATGTATGTTGCTGTAACCTAGATTGATAGCGCGTATCGTCCGCCGTCAGCGGTGGCGAATCGAATCACTGTATTTAGTACTTTATTATCTGATTAATTATGCGAGCACAAAGGTTATCAACATGCAATTATTTATTTATTTATCTCACTTCATGTAAAATTTACATTGGCGGACTTAACGCCTAAGGCATTCTCTACCAGTCAACCAAAGGCAGTGCAGAGTGAATAGTGGTAGCTGCTATGAAATTTATATTAATTTACATACATACATACACAACAAAAAAGTATATACATACATATATACACAATCACATATACAAACATACATACATACACAAATAGGTACATACATACATACCTAGTCAGGTCATTAATTCTGTCACATGTTTAATGTAAAATAATTGAAACAAGTTTATTCATTATGTAACCATTCATATACCAAAATGAACTTAACAAAACATAGATTCTTATGACACTAACGTTTAATCAAAATGACCTCCGTGATTTTGAATACAGGCCTTCAATCTGTGCGGCCAGTCGTCTATCGCAGCACGAACGAGATCCATGTCAATATCGGCGGCTGCCTTAATCAAGGATGTCTTGAGTGACTCCAAATTGGGATGAGGCTTTGAGCACGTCTTTTCCTCTAAGTGTTGCCATATCGTATAATCTAACGGATTCAAATCTGGACTGGAGGAGGGCCAATCTTCGTGCCGGATGAAGTCGATTTCACGCGCCGCCAGCCAGTCTTGTGTGCTCTTCGCTCTATGAGCTGGCGCCGAATCTTGTTGCAATACCCAGTACCTGTTATTGAACATGGTATGAGAAACAGGTTCCACAAAGTTCGTCAGGACTGTATTTTGATACACAACTGCATTCGTTTTTACACCTTTCTCACAAAAATGTACCTCTGTTAAGCCCCAATAAGAAGCTCCCAACCATACCATGAGCGAGGATGGAAAATGACCTCATTGGACACGCGGAATACGGTTGCTCGCTTCTTCACTACTGTGTGCGTACACCTTATCATTTTGTTTGTTGTAGCTCTCTTCTACGGTAAAAATTTTTTCATCCGAAAAAAGAATTTCCCGATATTTTTTTCCCGCGTACCGCTTCAACAAAGCGCGGCATCTCTTCAGTCTCAGGTCCATTAGACGAGCATTCAAACGATGTCCTGTTTTTCTTCGATATGCCCGAAGCCCTAAGTCTTCATTTAACACCCTTTTCACCGTGGTTCTGCTTAACCCCATCTGAAGGGCCAACAGTTTCTGCTTACGTTTGGGATTTCTTTGAATTCGCGCCTTCACAGCTTTTATCACTGCTGGAGTCCTAACAGACCGAGGGCGACCACTTCTTGACCTGTCATCTACACTAGAGTCTTCATTGTATCGTTTGATAATACGATAAACGAATCTTTTGGTTATATTCAAATTTTTCAGTATGTTAATAATTTGAATTGGCGCGTAACCGCAACGATGCAACGCAATAACTGCAGCACGGTCTTCTTTAAGCGTCCACTCCATATTTAAAAATGAGTAAAATTCTAAAAGTATACATTTTTATTTTCATGAACAATTCGAAATTCGAATTCAATAAACTTTTTTGTGGCCAGCATTCTAAAAGAAAAGTTTTTAATGTGTGACAATACTTATGACCTGACTAGTTATAATAGTTTATACAGTATTAAAATCTATATCTATATTATCTCATCATAATTTGGTTACTCACAAGCTAGTTGGTGCTTTTTATTTATTTATTTCATAGGTAGGTGGACGAGATCACAGTCCTTGTGTTAAGTGGTTACCGGAGCTCATAGACTTCTACAACGTATATACCGCCATCCACCTTGAGATATGAGTTCTAAGGTCTCAGTATTAGTTACAACGGCTGCTCTACCCTTTAAACCGAAACGCATTACTGCTTTACGGCCGAAACAGGTAGGGTGGTGGTGCCTACCCGTGCGGACTCACAAGAAGTCCTACCACCAGTAGTTGATGTGCTTAAATGTTTTTTTATACATTTAAAAGAGACGACACAGGTGAAATTATTAAATTAAAAAGAGTTGAATACACACAATTCCTCAAAGCATTTCTCGCGGGCCACTCAGTATAATATGGCGAAGCAAAATCCCTTAGTAAATCCTTCGTCTTAGTAAAAGTTAAGGCTTCGAACGATCTGTCAGATGAGAATTTTTGACAATCCGAATAATCCTCAAATTTCTATTTTAGGATAAGGATGAGGATAAATCCTCAAATCTCTATTTGAGTATTTGTAATTGTATTTTTTTGAATGCGTGCGTTTAGCGGATAAGACGGGAAACCAGACGTCCCACGTCTTGAATGACGTCATTATCTGCGATTCGTTTTGGGGGGAAAAGTCTAGAGATTGTTCCTTATAATTTTTAATTTAATTTTACTGTTAATATAATATTTAATATTTTTAGTTGAAATATCTCTTTTAGTGTTTTCTTCAGTTTTAGCGAGTCGTAGAAGTAATTAAGATTAACTTTACGGCTATCGTGCACACGTAAAAAATTCGGAACGTCAGGAATAATAAATATATTATTATTATATAATAATAAATTTTTCATTTCTCATAACTCATAACAAGAATACTAAAATTATAAGTATGATACTAAATTACAGTTAAGTGTTTCGGATATATAATTAAATCAATATAATTCCACAAATCATATAATTTATTATATAAATAGACATCGACTTTATAGTACATATTTTAAAAAGCAAACAACAGTTTCAACCTTATAATGGTCGATACATCTTACTATATTTATATATTTCAACTACATTACATTATACCATTTCATTTTTAAACTATTTAAACTATTTTATTATCATTCAGTCGACACTAATCTCAACACTCAGGATAGGGCTTGTCCTTATCTTCTAATACCTCACACGGTTCTATTGCTCTTATTAATCCGCATCTGAGAGCTTGAGAAGATTTTACAGATTGTAGCTTCGAAATCGTCTAAAAGGGCTTCTGATATAGTTATGTGATTACGCAGTGGTTCGAAACTTTTAGGTTTGGAATCTTAATTGTATTGCGACATCGACTCTCTTATCCACGAAACTGCAAGGCTGCTTCGCAGAAGTCTTGAGCATAAGTACCTACTTACTACGGTACCTAAGGTACCTACCTACGCGTGGAGGCTTATGTCCTTATTTGTTGTGTTTTGTCTATTTAGTATTTCTTCAAGTTTAAAAGTGTAATAACGGTGGTTTATTAACTGTTTAATATCTGTGAAAGTGCACAGATGTGGGAAAATGAAACAAAGCCGCTGGACTTAACTTCTCGGGATCCTCCAAAAAGTCCACTGAAAAAATCTCAGTAAATGACCACCATTTTACTGAAATTTCATTTCATCCCATACATATCATCTCATCACATTTCATTTAATTTCATCCCATTGATTAATGTCTCAAATTGTTGATTTCATTTCATTTTATTCCATACTATCAATTTCTTAAAAATAATAATATAAATTAAAAAAAGACATGACCTAAAGGTCTTAGTTACCAGGTCATAAAATCCCTTAAAAAACTTTGAAATTGTTTTATTTGTAAATTATCTTGGGTAATTGAATATACCTAATTTCATTCTTGAGAATCCATTTGACTGCACGCAGAAGAGAGCTCTTTGAATTTACTATATCCCGATCACGTTTGGAATCTCTGGTTCTCTATATTATGTTCCATGGGGTGTGACGATTCATTGTGATTGTGCGATTTCTTGAAATCACAGCGCCATCTTCAATGTATTTTCAGAGATCATATCTGTATCGTACCATCCGGCTTTCGAATAAACTCCTCTCCATGATGTTTGGTGTTATAACATGTCCTTATTCAAAGAAGGGGAGACTCCCGCGGTAAAGACCCGTCTTGGTTGTGTCAAAGATATTAGTAACGTCCTTAAGCCATTTACCATAGAGTAGAGGCCGTCTGGTTTATGAGGCAAAAAAGTCAATAATTAAAAAATACTCCGCTTCATTCACTATTATTTAAGTACTTTTTTTGTCTTTTATCTCTACAGATGCACTCTTTATTTCCGTAAATGTGTTTGTCCAGATGCGCACGATCACACAAGAGACCGTAGCCACGTCAAACATTACACAAGTGTTTTATTAAAGTGTTCATTTTTAATTATTATTCAAATTTGAACAGCATGTAGCGTGAATGTCGTATTGAAGAATTCAATTTTACTAATTATTGTTATTGTGGTCAGACGAATATTAATCATCGTATGCGACGGTTTCAGGAAATTGTTTCTTTGATTAAGCTGTTGAAGTCTTTTCCTCGGTATTTGCGAGTCGTATATATAATTAAAACTCCTTTTACGGTATATTATCACGTTATTAATGATCATATTATTCGAATATTGCACAGTTTTCGTGGTCACAAACGACTCTTAATTATGCTTATCGTACATAATTCAAACTGTAGGAACACCGATCACACAAATCCACTAACGGTGCTTTTAGGTAAGTTAATTAAGTTCTTCAGTCAGCATCGCGTCAGCTATGAACATACTGGTGGCACCTACCCTGTGGCCCAAAAGTACGTTCCACCACCAAAAAAACTTCATCAGTAGCTTAAACGACGTTATACTACAAGTAAAATAAAAAAATAAAACTAACATTTTTTCAAGAAGGCTTTGTTTAAAGAATGCAGATTATGTTAGGATTTTCTTCTGCCTTGGTAAAGGTACATACAGGGGTGTCTCTGCCCAGCTCATCTTTACACCTGAAACCAATTTTTTTTTATCTTATTGATTTGCTATCATGTCGGACACGTGTATATCCTTGACTTCGAGCGCTTTCTAAATTGATTTTTTTGTTCAATTTTTCAATCTAAGTGCACAATTGAAGGCCAATTTCGAAATGGTTCAACCCTTCCTCATGCGCAAATGTACATATGGACATAATGTTTACTAACACTATTTATATATTTAAATATACTATATGCAAATATTTATATACCTACACAAAGAATCTTTTAAGATAATTTTCACCAAAGTCAAGATGTCCAATTAACTTCAAGTTTTGCACACGATTCAAGTTTCGTTAAAAATATATTTATTACCTCCGTTAACCTGACCTAATGTCTAGACCAGAATCACCAAGATTAAAATACATCATTGTAATTTTTAATTTGACTTGCGCTCTGAGTGTTTCTTTGTTTGTTTTTTGTTATTGCTTAGATGGGAGGACCAGCTCACAGCCCACCTGGTATTAAGTGGTTACTGGAGCCCATAGACATCCACAACGTAAATGCGCCACCCACCTTGAGATATAAGTTCTAAGATCTCAAGTACAGTTACAACGGCTGCCCCACCCTTCTAACCGAAACGCATTACTGCTTCACGGTAGAAATAGTAAAAGTTGTAGTAGAATAATGTTAATGATAATTGTAGCATAACTTACGATTGGTGTATGACAGCATCGTGCGCGCAGAAGTATCGGGTGCATTCTGCTTCCTTCGAGTATGTTACAGAATCAAAGGGAAGGACACCATCGAACTCCCTGATGTAACAGCCTTGAAGGCCACCTACATACATTTAACATTGTTTATTATACACATATATTAATTGATGACAGTAATCTCCTCTCGAGGCGCCAGGGCACCTGTTACCAAATCCCTTATCTCTTGGTTGAGCCTTTGTTCGTCAACCTCTCCTGGTAAGTCTGAAAAGGCTTCCGGACCATCAGTAATCCTTTATTCATAATAAAAGTAAATGATACAACAGGACACAAAAGTTTCGAATTTAAAGAAGATACGACTAAAAATTTAGTCTGAATTTGACTACAAAATATACGCTATTTTATTATTTTTATAATTTTTCTTAATTTTTTTTATTGCCTAGATGTGTGGACGAGCTCACAGCCCACCTGGTGTTAAGTGGTTACTGGAACCCATAGACATCTACAACGTAAATGCGCCACATACCTTGAGATATAAGTTCTAAGGTCTCAGTATAGTTACAACGGCTTCCCCACCTTTCAAACCGAAACGCATTACTGTTTCACGGCAGAAATAGGCGGGGCGGTGGTACCTACCCGTGCGGACTCACAAGAGGTCCTACCGCCAGTAAAATATATTAAAATATATTAAATTATAATAAGATTGTGTATTTTCGAAAGCAATAAAAGTCAATATTATGCAGGTTTCTATTCTAAGTTTTAACTATAAATTCATAAAATACGTAGGTTATGTATCTTTGTTATTTATTACAAAAGAGAAAATTGAAAAATTATAACGAATTTAGGCAAACGATAATACGGTTAGTGTTTGTGTTGTATTTGTGTTTACAATATAGTTACATATTTGACGGCGTTAATGATATTTATGTTATATAGCACATTCAATAGGAGTGACTCACACAAGCCAGGCGCGCCGGCCGTGTCGTTTCACTCGTAAACAACAGCTTCAACAGAAGTGACTCATAAGCCAGCTGCGCCGGCTAGTATAAAAAGGCGGAACGTGCCTTGAAATGAACATTCGTTGGACTGCGCTTGCCTGGTGCACTTACTATATCCTTGTTACGTTGTGTGATTCAGTGACTGTTGTACGTACTGGTTAAAGTTGGACAAGTGTTAAAGTGAATTGTTAAGATAACATATTGTTGATTAAATCAGGAATCAAAAGGTGACATCGTTTTACTTGGTGTTCAACAAGATAATATCTACCCTCAAGCTTACATCAGAAGTGAGATCAGGAC